AAACGTTAGATATTTGAATTTCATTGAAATATTGTTGTAAAAACTTTAATATGATTAGAGGAAATACTATATTTAAACCAATAAAATCCTTAGCAGTTGGCGCACTCAGTTTCGTGTTATAAATTTTGTAAAGCGGAAAGAATGTTGAAATATTTTGAACACATGATTAATGGTTATATGTATAAAAATGTATAAAATATGTATGTTCTATCAAGATAAGGGTGATTTGATTTCCTTAGTTTATATCCTAGTACAGACGCTTCTGCTTTTAAATGCGAGTATAAAACAATACTACTGCCACGATCTCCAACACAAATATAAGAACAACAAATATGACATTTAAATGGATGATGTTGTGGTGTATGTTTGTTTTGTTGTAAACAACTTTTTCTATTAATTTAAATTTTTGATTTCTTTTTCTTCGATTATGTTTTTTTTTAATACTTATTTTTTGTTCTTTTGTTTATCTACACATTCGTACATACATATGTACCGGAATATTTTACTTACATTATGTTAAACTTGAACACATACATACAAATAATAGAAAGGAATAAAGTCTTACCCAGCAGTTCGACACAGAGTCAATGAATCCGAAAAATAAAGTGATTTCCACAAACCTCTAACCACCTGGTTGGCTATAATTCGTTTTTCGCCACGTATGTACTTTTTGTGTGCCTCTTCGTAATCGGGTGACGATTGACATCCTCGTTAGTTAGTTAGTTAGTTAGTTGGTTAGTTAGTTAGTTAGTTAGTTAGTTAGTTAGTTAGTTAGTTAGTAGTTAGTTAGTTAGTTAGTTAGTTAGTTAGTTAGTTAGTTAGTTAGTTAGTTAGTTAGTTAGTTAGTTAGTTAGTTAGTTAGTTAGTTAGTAGTTAGTAGTTAGTTAGTTAGTTAGTTAGTTAGTTAGTTAGTTAGTTAGTTAGTTAGTTAGTTAGTTAGTTAGTTAGTTAGTTAGTTAGTTAGTTAGTTAGTTAGTTAGTTAGTTAGTTAGTGTTAGTTAGTTAGTTAGTTAGTTAATTAGTTAGTTAGTTAGTTAGTTAGTTAGTTAGTTAGTTAGTTAGTTAGTTAGTTGTAGTTAGTAGTAGTTAGTTAGTTAGTTAGTTAGTTAGTTAGTTAGTTAGTTAGTAGTAGTTAGTTAGTTAGTTAGTTAGTGTTAGTTAGTTAGTTAGTAGTTAGTTAGTTAGTTAGTTAGTTAGTTAGTAGTTAGTTAGTTAGTAGTTAGTTAGTTAGTTAGTTAGTTAGTTAGTTAGTTAGTTAGTTAGTTAGTTAGTTAGTTAGTTAGTTAGTTAGTAGTTAGTTAGTTAGTAGTTAGTAGTTAGTTAGTTAGTTAGTTAGTTAGTTAGTTAGTTAGTTAGTAGTTAGTTAGTTAGTTAGTTAGTAGTTAGTTAGTTAGTTAGTAGTTAGTTAGTTAGTTAGTTAGTTAGTTAGTTAGTTAGTTAGTTAGTTAGTTAGTTAGTTAGTTAGTTAGTTAGTTAGTTAGTTAGTTAGTTAGTTAGTTAGTTAGTTAGTTAGTTAGTAGTTAGTTAGTTAGTAGTTAGTTAGTTAGTTAGTTAGTTAGTTAGTTAGTTAGTTAGTTAGTTAGTTAGTAGTTAGTTAGTTAGTTAGTTAGTTAGTTAGTTAGTTAGTTAGTTAGTTAGTTAGTAGTTAGTTAGTTAGTTAGTTAGTTAGTTAGTTAGTTAGTTAGTTAGTTAGTTAGTTAGTTAGTTAGTTAGTTAGTTAGTTAGTTAGTTAGTTAGTTAGTTAGTAGTTAGTTAGTTAGTTAGTTAGTTAGTTAGTTAGTTAGTTAGTTAGTTAGTTAGTTAGTTAGTTAGTTAGTTAGTTAGTTAGTAGTTAGTTAGTTAGTTAGTTAGTTAGTTAGTTAGTTAGTTAGTTAGTTAGTTAGTTAGTTAGTTAGTTAGTTAGTTAGTTAGTTAGTTAGTTAGTTAGTTAGTTAGTTAGTTAGTTAGTTAGTTAGTTAGTTAGTTAGTTAGTTAGTTAGTTAGTTAGTTAGTTAGTTAGTTAGTTAGTTAGTTAGTTAGTTAGTTAGTTAGTTAGTTAGTTAGTTAGTTAGTTAGTTAGTTAGTTAGTTAGTTAGTAGTTAGTTAGTTAGTTAGTTAGTTAGTTAGTTAGTTAGTTAGTTAGTTAGTTAGTTAGTTAGTTAGTTAGTTAGTTAGTTAGTTAGTTAGTTAGTTAGTTAGTTAGTTAGTTAGTTAGTTAGTTAGTTAGTTAGTTAGTTAGTTAGTTAGTTAGTTAGTTAGTTAGTTAGTTAGTTAGTTAGTTAGTTAGTTAGTTAGTTAGTTAGTTAGTTAGTTAGTTAGTTAGTTAGTTAGTTAGTTAGTTAGTTAGTTAGTTAGTTAGTTAGTTAGTTAGTTAGTTAGTTAGTTAGTTAGTTAGTTAGTTAGTTAGTTAGTTAGTTAGTTAGTTAGTTAGTTAGTTAGTTAGTTAGTTAGTTAGTTAGTTAGTTAGTTAGTTAGTTAGTTAGTTAGTTAGTTAGTTAGTTAGTTAGTTAGTTAGTTAGTTAGTTAGTTAGTTAGTTAGTTAGTTAGTTAGTTAGTTAGTTAGTTAGTTAGTTAGTTAGTTAGTTAGTTAGTTAGTTAGTTAGTTAGTTAGTTAGTTAGTTAGTTAGTTAGTTAGTTAGTTAGTTAGTTAGTTAGTTAGTTAGTTAGTTAGTTAGTTAGTTAGTTAGTTAGTTAGTTAGTTAGTTAGTTAGTAGTTAGTTAGTTAGTTAGTTAGTTAGTTTGTTTGTTTGTTTGGTAGGATGTACATAATATGTTGCAGCAAACTGTAGCTATTGGGCCTAAAAAACCGATTTCTTCCAAAATTCTTAAGAGTCGATGAACTTTGCACTAATGCATAATATACATATCTATGTTTTTATGTACGTGTCCAATGATTTAAATTTATGATACATTGGCCACTTTGAAAATTGAGGGAATATACAATTCGACATTTTGCATATGTATGTGAGTTAAAGTCAAGATTTATACATGGTGCTCTTTAGAGGTTTCACTCATCACATGCTTATCACATACAACACGTACAAATATTAAACAAATCTAAAAGGAACAAAATGTCCCACATTTATGAATCCATTATGAAGTGTTTATGTGTAAAAATAAACAATCACATATACTCATTCCTACATACATATACGTAAATATCCATCATACACCCATTTATATATTCACAAAAGTTTTGATTATTACACCCATACAAACACACATTAACATATCCTTAAAAACTTACACATAACGCTAGATATATAGCGATTTGTGCGTATGAAAATATCATTGTGTAAGTGTCTGTTGCTGGTATGTGAAAATATGTCATCACTTGACTGTTTGAATTAATATTTCTCACATATTTGACAACAAATAACAAAAAAAAAAAAAAACGAATATCACACAAATAGTATCCTTTTTGCCTACAGGTGTTTGTCTATTGGGCACAATTAGCATTTTGAAATCTACTCATATTTGGGGAAATATATAATATTGTTTGTGTTAGTAATGTTTAGCTTTTAGAACTTAATTGAGCATAGATTTATGTGAATAAATATTAAGATTATTATTAGCTCACTTTCATAATGAATGAATGATTACAGACAGTACTGTGAGTAAGTCCAATTTTGTGACTATTAAGGGGACTTAACAGAATGTAACAATATTTAATGAGAAGTACGTATATAGTTGTATTTAAAGAGGAAGGTTAATTTGGAAATTATGTTCTTGATTTGAAATTGAATTCGGTTTAGGTTACGTTGTTAGAAGGAAAATCCGAAGAACTACATCTGGGCTGCTATAGGGCCTGTTGTACGCATTTTTACTTGGAAAATTAAGGTATTATCGTCCTATATTCAGAAAACTTTGTTTTATGGATGTAATTCCTAAGAGTTTTCCAATCGTATGTTATACCCGGAATAAGTAATATTGCTTCCAAGGTATTTTGATCTAATTTCGACGAAGTAAGTGTTCCAAAGACAAAGTAAGTGTTCCAAAGAGTCTTCTCCACATGTGTGGCACTCTTCTGAATTCAGTCCTCCAGATCCTAACTTAAACTAAGAAGAAAAGGATATCTTCCTAGCGTTCTCTTCCATTTAAAGCAAGTATATTCTCCTTTTTATTGCTGATTTCCGATTGCTCTAGTACCTATATGATGCAATGTTATTACAATGGGAGAGTATTCGGTTCATGGTCTGTTACAGTCCACGGCGGTCACCTGATATAGCCCAATTGCCTTCTGGATGTCGTTTAAGTCCAGATTATTACCTGGAAGCTTGTGTTTCGAGTAGTATCGGATTTATAAGGCCTAATGTCCCAAGATATACAATCTAGGAACAGCGTTTCAAAGTTCCCTATATATACTGTATGTGATCGGCAACGTCCAATGTTTATACATATATAGCCTTCCAATGTGTCGGGTATACATGAATGACGTGTCCTATAACCACTTTTGATTAGTTCGAGCCGTTCAGCTGTAAGTGCCACCTCTTATCTTATATATGTTTCAATGGGTGGAATATCTAGCAACGTTCCCAGAGCCTTACAATATTTGTCCAAAGAAGTCCTCCAGAATACACCTAAGTACATTCACTGTAATATTATTAGAGTTGTTTGTAATTTGTATCAATATTTTCTTGTACCATTAAAACTAAAACTAATTTATATATGTATAAATAAATTATAAAATGTTATAATTAAAATAATTTTTTTAATTTTATCATCTCCTTACCACAGTCAATTAGCCATTTTAAACAATTTCACACAAAGTTGGAAAAAAGTTAAAAATAACAAATGTGCATTAGGCAAATACATGCATATATTTTCCCCTTTTTTGTTTTCACAGCTGCAATCAAACTTTAGTCCTAAGTACTAATGAAAATATATTTAAATATTTTCAAATAAAATGTTTAAAAAAAAAGTTCTTTATACTTTAACATTTTAAACTAAAATTTACATTTTTATTACAATTTTATCTAAATTAAATCCGACATTTTTTCTTCTTGTTTAATTTTCAGATCGGCCGCAATTATTTTTTAACCCCCCAGGAGAACTACTTAAATAACCTACATACTGTAGTAGCAGAAGATTGTTGTTTACTTTTACTGAAAAAACACACATGCAAACACATAATACTGCTACCTATACATAAATACATATAACGCATACGCCTAAACACACGCTACACATTTGTATTTACGCTCATTAGATAAAATACAAGTATAACAAAAACAACAACAGCAAACACAACAAAAACAACAATTTAACGTTTAGCGCCTCAAGTGGCAGACACAACTAAATGGCCAAGACGAAACAACAACAACAATTACTGGTGATTTATTTAACAATATGTTTGGTCATTGTATCACTGCTAATGAAAGTGGATAGTGTGAGGGCATTAAGTCTTCCACTAGACGGAAGCGGAAATATGTTCCAACAACAACATCAGCAGCAGCAACAATCACAGGAACAACAGCAAATCGATAACAATATACAGGAGCATAATTATGTTTTGGTAAATGTTAATAATTTTTATTATTTTTATAACATAAAACCTCTTTAAAATAAAAGATTATATCAAGGTTTTCGGATTGGAATGCAGGAATCAAATATTGTTGCAAAGACTGACAATATCTGATTTTACTACAAACTTCAGGGTTAGATTAGGTTAGGCGGAAAGAATGATGTTCATATACTTCATCAGAAAGAAAAAATTATACCTGGGACGCTACCTCGTCCATTGTGCGCTCTTTTACATGGAAAATGTTGGTGAGAAAACTTTTTTATAATCAAGGTATTATCGTCTACTATTTGGAGAATAAGTTTCCTAGATGTAGTTTCATTTAGTGTATCTGGAATTAATTACACCCAAGATATTTGGATCTAATTTGGACGAAAATTTGGCAATGACAAAGAAAGTGTTCCTGAGTTTCACTCTCTCCTTCGCATGATCTACATTCGCTTAAATCCAATCGTCTCGAACTCGTTAGAATCTTTGTAGCTCTATCTAGCCTTTCATTATATAAAGTGCCAGTATTGGATTATATCGTAAATGTTTTTAATTTATATTCGTCGGTAAATATGTTAACCTTCCTTGCTGCATTCCAATTTTGCACAGTGACGTTTGTCTTCCAATTTAGAATCATCCTTGTAGCAGCAGATGTCCGCGGTTATTATCTCTAAAGTTCCATTTGATCATGTATCTCCTTCTGGTATCAATGTCTCACAAATATACAAGTGCCCAATATACACTGATCACGTGACCTATATATATTTTATTTATTTTTTGTTATGACCAGCACTCAGGGAATGACCCCTACTCATACAGTGCATTGTGTTGGAACTAGGAAAATAGGTTATGGGAGGAAGGATAGAGGGAGTAGTGTTTGTGGACATTCGATTTAAACATAGCCACATTGCAAGTGACAGGAAAGACTTCTGGGGGAAGTTTGTTCCACATCCGGATGGTACGACTAAAGAACGAACTCCCCTGTTGTGCATTGTGCGATCCACTGACCAATCGACCACAAATGGGTGTGTAATTTCATAAGAACACATTCTATTATAGTATCGATTGAACAGTGTAACGCACCTCACATTGCGACGATGCTCCAGTGAATCAATAGAGTTGGATACCCTATTGTCACCGATAAGTACCTTCGCCTTCTCCTGATCGCTGCCGAGTAGCCCCAAAATATACTTTGTTTTGCCTCATTGCCCCAATATCCAAAGGACTTGGCCTATAGTTGAATGAATAAGAATGGCAAATGTTGCTATCATCTGCAAAAGTGTAGATAGGGTTGCAGGTTTGGAATAGAAGGTCATTTAGAAAGATAAGAAACAGAGTAGGAGAAAGAATGGAGACTTGCGGTACCCCTGAATTTATCTTGAACTCGTTTGATGAGCCACCACTTTACTTTCACCATGGTGGTGAGGAAAGAGAGGAAAGCCAGTAAGCCTCCCGTAGAATGACCGCTACGAAATCCATACTGGCGGTCGTTAAGTAAATTGTTGTAACAATTTAAATTGCAGAACAAATTGCAATTGGGCAACAATTTTTAGGGTTATTAGCCTCTCCTTTTTTGGGGATTGGCGAAACATTAGCAATCTTCCAGCATGCAGGGAACTCACCGGCATGGTATAAAGTGCTGAAAAGGTTGACTAATTGACGAGCTAGCATCGAAGAACACTGCTTCAAGACCATCTGGCCCAGAAGACTTGTTTATGTTGAGGTCCGCTAATACCCTTTTAACTGCACTAGTTCGAAAGGGTATGTTTGGCATAGTTACTAATACTCTATCAAGCTCGGGCAGTGGTTGAATGCTTTCCGGCAAGTGAGAGTTGCTTGCAAACAGTTCAGCTAAGAGGTTAGCTTTATCAATCGGGTTGGTGAATGTTTGGTCATTCCTTATAAGAGTTGGAATTGAAGAACTAGCATTATCCCCCGGGGAGCAGTAAGAACCTTAGCATGAAGATGCTGCTCGTGTAAAGCTTTTTCGCGCCTTAGTACCTTAACACACAGAGATTTGGCCTTTTTTCGTAGCGAATCATTTTTGACGTTTTTATTATTACCCCAAATTCTGAATGCTTTCTCTCTGGATCTGATTGCAGTTTTGCACTTCTGATTAAACCAAGACTTTTGTCTGGGTCTAATCGACGATTTTTTTATTGGAATGAAAGTTTTTATTCGCAGCATTATTATGTTCTCGACCATTTTCGTCATGGCATTCACATTATTGTCTAGGAAACATAGTTGTCAATTAAAATGCCGAAAGATATCGTTGAGCTCAGCCCAACGAGCCTTTTCGTATATGAAAATACACCACACAGAGGCTTTTGGGACTCTCTTGGATCTTATTTAGATTTATACCCAAATTGGACAATAACACACCCGCTGTGTGAATGTATTATTGTCCGATGTTCAGAAACTCAGATTTCTGGATGTAATTTCTAAGAATTTTTCAATCAGTATCATATCAGTAATCATAATAACCTTAGACTTGCTCAGTTTGAGGAGCCTTCTCTTCCTGCTCTTGTTAGGGTCACCCAATGGATCTTTTTGGATCTACCCGCCATTTTATTACATTATATAATTAACAATATTTTTTACTAAAATATTAATAGAATTAATTTTATTATGTATTCATATTTTTTTAATTTTATAAAGGATCAAGCGAAACAAAGACCTACAACAATGGTACCCAATAATGGCAACATACTGGAGAGTGATGACGATGACATTTTGAAGGAGAATAGTTTAAGTGATGATTTAAATAGAAATCAAATGATGTTGGGGTAATTCAAAATTTTATAATATAATTTTGATTATTTTATATAGAAACAAAAATTTGCCTTTCTAGTCATTCTTATGAGCCACTAAATATGGTCAAACGTGCACCTGGAGGTTTTGTGGGTATGCGTGGCAAAAAACTCTACTACGATGATGAGGAAATCAACAATATAAACGATAATGATAATAAACTACCCTGGAACCAATTGCAAAATTCCGAAGAAGACATTAGCTGGGACGAATACGCTAAGCCAAATGTTAGACGTTACAAAAAAGCACCCACAGCTTTTTATGGAGTACGTGGTAAAAAGTTTGCCACCATGAATGGCGCCAATCCCGCTAATGACAATCATCGTTGGCAAGAATTCTTACAAAAACTTGAAGAGGAACGAGTGCGAGATGCAATATTACAGAATTTCGTTGAGACTTTGACAGGCACACAAAATGATCTACCCAACGAAATGTCAAAGAGAGCACCTACCGGTTTTACGGGAGTACGAGGCAAGCGACCAGTCATGGATGATTTAGATACTTCAATGGAAACTTTAACGAAACGTGGTTTGGGCAATAATGCCTTTGTCGGTGTAAGGGGTAAAAAAGATGTCTCACATCAGACTTTTAAGAGATCACCTTCGGGAGCAGAGGTAAATATTTAATTTCGGTTTATGTCTTAATAGTAACAATGCTAAAGCTTTGAAATATATTAAGGAAAATTATCATCAAACATTAAATTATCAAAATTAACTATAGTTTTAAATTCTAAATTAAAACTTTTAATAGTCATATTAAAGATGGTTAACATCAGGTATGTGATGGAAATCGAAATTTATAATGAAATGTTTTGCTTTAAAAGCTTGAATGGAATCCAATGTTGTGCAGTGTCCCCTTATAATGAAAATTAGCTTTCAAATTGGTTGCATGAAGCCTAATCTAAAATGTTTAGACATTTTCGGTTTCCATTTTTCTCCAGTTTCCGGGCATATTTCTTTATGTTTCTAACACTTTCATTTCCTAAACTTTAGCAATTTAACTGAAAGCTCTCAAAACTATGCTATAATTAATTAGAAGAAAACTCATTGCAAAAAGCTCCCTTCCAACACACTCGCCTACATACTAAATATAAAAAATTATGTATGTATTTCAAAGCCAAATCATTTATAAAATAAAAAATTAAAAATACTAAATAATATTTTAGCGCTATTTCTTTGTTTTTTGGAAAAAGTCTTTACCAGGCGGTAGTGGAAAACGTCAACGTTTCGTCGATTTTAATAATAAATTTGTAGCTGTCCGTGGAAAGAAGAGTTCCTACGATGGTATGAGTGCGTTTAATGCCATCAACAATAACAGGTCACCATCGTCATCGGCAGCTATGAGTCTATTTTATGGTAAACGTGCACCCAACGGGTTTCTTGGTGTAAGAGGAAAAACGTCCGTTTACAACTGGTAAGTACGAATGAAGAACTGTATGTCCTACACAAGCAAACATAACTGCTGTAGCTATTTGAAAATTATTTTTATTTTCTTTGGCTGCAGGACTTGTGTGCTTTGTTAAAGAGGTACTTAACCTTTTTCAAGGTAGTCACCGCGAGCATCCAGCTAAGAACTTTTTTCATTTAAAATTATTATTTAAAGAAATGACGACACTGGTTTATTTTTACAAAATTTATTTTTAATTCATTTTAAATATAAGTATTCATGTTTTGTTTCTTAATTCTAATACACAGATTAGTAATTAAAATGGGTTGACACACTTGTAATAGTTTTATGTTCTCTATAGTTCAATTTTTTAGCATTTTCCCAACCAGTTTTGTAGTATTATTACCATATCCGACTTTATCCATTAAACGTCTAATATAATTATACGGTTTCATAATTTTTAGCCAAGATGCTCACGATATAGCGAGGATTGGGAGCTGCAGTATGTCTGAAAATAATCACAATTTAATAACTAAACTTTTGTATAAAAAAATTCCTAGATTTTATTCTATTAATTAGAAACAAAACCAGATTTAGATTCTTGAACAATAACATAAAAACTAGTGATGACGCTATTATTCTTGTACCCGTACCGAAGTTTCGAGGGAACCAGTTCTTTGGTATCATGATAAAGTGTTTTGACAAGAGCTATCCCCTGCTGTCTTAGCAGGGAATAGCTGACTAAAGGATGGGAAGAGGTCAAGGTAGTCTTTCAATCAAAGAACTTAAGACCTATTAGCCTATCGTCTTTTCTACTGAACACATTAGAAATATGTACTTAGGAGCATTTGAGATACTAATTTCATTAGCAATGCCTAACTCAAAGATTATTCCGTTTGGAGCGTGCTTTATGAGATGGAGCATGGTAAAAAGTTTAAAGAGTACACTTTAGCTGTGTTTTTTGGATAGAGAAGGAGTCTTCAACAATATTAAGATAAAGGAAGAATAAAAGGCAAAGGCAGCACGCCTCAGATGGCCTTGGATATAATCCCTAACTTCCAAACTATTAAGAATTATAGAATTAAGATAAGTGGACTGGATCCGATAAATTGTTCGATTGGTGTTCAGTGTTTATTTGTATCTATTTGGTCGAAGAAAGTATTAAACGGTCATATGGCAGCGTCTTCCAGGCTGAGATCTTCGCGATCTGAAAAGCCACATTATTGTTTAGGGCACATGTCACAGAGGATTCCGCAATGACAATTTATGTTAAAAGTCAGGCAGCGCTTTAAAATGTCATATAATTCAAGAGTTAGCACTGTAATATACAGGAAAATGAAGTAGTAGATGGACTAGTCAGACAGGGGTCCGATTTGGACCCTAGAATCAGGGAGCGAGGAGTTAGGCCTCCTATTTGTTACTCCACTAATCAAACCTGCAATTATAGAACGGATTTCCAGACTTCAAAGCGGTTTCGTTCTTACTGAAACCCCCTTTATAAGAAGTCTGTTTTGAAGAAATCTTTATAAGTTTGAGCAAAACTATAAATTTGACGTAATAATTTCGAACAAAAAAACTTCGATTAATGAACTGGTTCCAAAATTATTCTATACAACGGATAACTTAATCAACTTTTTTGGTTCTATTGTGATATTATGATGTTCATTTAAAGGATATTGGAGAGTCCTATTGTTTATGTACTTAACAAATCCAGTAATAACCATACCGAACATCTAGATGTCTTTAGTTTTATAATTTAACGAAAAAGATTACATACTTAGTTTTTAGAATTGAGTTAATAATAATAATTACAAAAACTCACTTAATTGGTTGATGTATACTTCTGTGGGAACTTTTTTAATTCAGTAATATTGTAGCTTCTGAACACAATAGGCTATGCTATGAATAATTGAAAAATTCCTAAAATTGTAACAAATACATAAATGAAAAATTATTAAGATAAATAATAAACATTTTCAGTTTTTCACAATTTATATCTTATATTAGAAATTAACTCACAGTTTTTAAAGTCGGCTCAATTAATGAAGTTACATGATCAAACTCCTGTTAATGGCTTAAGTTGTTTTAGAAAATTAAGATTTGGTAGCAGGTTAGGTTATTTATTGATTAATTCTTGACATTTTGGCTGGTGGTGCCTGCTTCGACATACTTTCAGTACTATTTGTTGCGTAATCCCTTTTTTCTTCGTAATCTCTCATATGCAGTTTTATTTGACGAAATTTATAGAAAATTTCACCCTTCACTTCTTCCAGTTTGACAGCAGACATTTTGTCAATTAAAAGTGTCAACATTATAGTGGAGTTTCTGGATGTTCTGCGCAGCAATTTCCATGCAAACACAGAGAGTCCTTCATTTTGCCATTGTATAAAGGAGAGAATTTTGTCATTCGTATCATCGAGAGAGTTGGGGAAAAAACCAACAACTACTTTTGGATGTGTAATTTTTGATTCCTTCATTGTGGCATATTGTATGTGAATGAGTCTTCTGGAATCCATTTCCGAAGATATAGTCGTACGTTGTAGATGTGATTGACTATCCTGTGGTCTTTCACGTTGCATCATTTCCAACTTTCTCAACTTCCTACGTTGTGCACCGGAAAGTCTTCTTTTAATTGTGTCTGTATTGTTATCTACTTGAGTTTATCCATACCTGTGTGTTATCCTTGTTGGTTACGGATTCTTCACTGTTCTCGTTTGGTTGGGCTTGTAATGAGCTTTCATTGATACTTTCTTTATTATCATCAACAGTAATTGTTTCATTTGTTATGGTTTGAGCTAATAACGGGGATTTAGCCTTATTGTATATTGGGTTATAGGACTGTGATTCTTTATCATTCTTGTTTGCCTCTGGCTGCAAAGTGTTTTCCTTGATAGATTTTGTGTTGTCATCCATACTAATTGAGTCATTCATATTATTATTATTATTGATTGCTTGAGCGGCTTGTCTTTTCTGTCGCTTCATGGCCATTTTTTTCAGCTTCCTACGTTGGGCACCGGAAAGTCGTTTTTTAGCTGTATCCTTAATCTGTGTAGAGCTGTTTGTTATCATTTTTTCACTATTTATGTCTGGTTGAGAATGCGTAATACTTTCCATACTGTCTTCCATTCCAACTGCCACATTCATACTGTTAGCAGTGTCCTCAAGCTGTATAAGATTGCTGGCAACAGATTCTTCATCGTTCTCGTTTGGTTCGTGTTGTGATGAACTCTCTTCTATATTTTCTTTACTATCTTCTGTTTCATTTACCACATTAGTAGTGTGAGTTTCATTGTTTTCAACTAAGAGCGGGGATTCTCTATCCTTCTTATTTGTCTCTGATTGTAAAGAAATTTCCGCTGTTTCTGTTTCATTGTTTAAGGAGTTATACGTATCAGTTTCCTGACCTGTCGAAACAATCTCTTCATTTTCATTACTTCTTGACACATTCTCAATAACGGAAGCCAAGTTGCCCACCTCCGAAATTGGTTGCGTACAGTCGCTGGATGACGACGACTGGGGGCCTGTTTGCTCACCACCACTAGCCGCCGGTACTGAGTTTATTAGGCTCTGCACCGTAACTTTTTCTTCATTTAAATTACTTTCCATAATTGGCGTTTTTTGGGTACCACCCTAGCTAGTTTTATTTGGTCCGCGAGAGGTTCTTAGACCTCTAAGACTTGATGTAAAATAAAGGTTCCCAATTGCGAGATATATTAAATCTTGCCAAGTGGGACACTATATTTTACATCATGCCGCCCCTATCCGCCACCTGGGGACGCGTCCGATGGAAGTAAAACTAGCAAAAGACTCCACACGGATCCTATTTGTTGTTTTCTGCGGAAGCAAATTCGGTTGTTACTACTGTCGCTGAGTTGACAATCTTTGGCCGAGCATGATTCGATTCGTTCCGCAGCGAAGATTAAATTGTCATGGGATCGAGTTAAGACCTGTTTCAACATTTAGCTTAACACGGACTCATATTAAATGAAAAGTAATCTAAAATTTTGTGACTTGTCTAATATTGCAAAAATTTAAATTGTTTCTTCAATAATACCCAATTTTTCTTTTTTTCCAGATGACATTTTATCTGTAAACTAAACCGGGAAACCCATAAAGAACTAATATTTTGCAGACATTTTTTGTGTATTTATGGATGTTTGGCCTCAATAGCAGAACAAGCAGCAGACAAAATAAAATATTTATTAATATGAAAGAAGTATAATAAAATCAATTATATTTTAATTATAGTACAATTACATATTGTAAAACATATTAATTTTATTTATAAAATATACACTACACACTTAAAGCATTCTAAATAATGAAATGGGCTGGTATTATTTAGAGTGTTAGTATTATTGTTTATAAAATTTTGATTTCTTTTTTAATTAAAATTTTTGTTTCAAAACTAAATAATTGTGAGAACAAAATACACTAGAAGTTTCCTATATAATGCATAAAATGCAACAAAAATTAATTACTTTCTAACAAAAAAAAAATTAAATAAAGAAATTAAAAATATGTCTAATTTTAAATAAAATATTTTAAAAACAACTAAAAAACACTATATTAAATATTCTAAAACTAAAACGAAAATCTAAATAAATTTGCACTAACTGTAAATAAATAAAAAAAAAAAACAGTACTATTAAAAGTACATACATATACATATATGTATATAATATAAATATATACATAACTTATATAAATATTAAATTTAATTTTAAATGTAAACAACAAATCTATATATAAATATAAAAAATAAAACTAATAAATTATTAAACAAGTTGAAATCTTTTTTTTTACATCTAAAAGGTTAAATACAATTGATTAATGTATTCATATTCTTCGTAAAATTCGACAACTTATAGTTAGCATTCCATTTTGCAACACTTTTTCCTGATATTGAATCAAAATAAAAAGTCCAACGTACAACTAACTTTTATAGTGATGCCGATATTCTAGAGAAAGTTATTAACAATAAATCCATTTTCAGGGAGTATGTTAATTTGTATGGTAGTTATATGAAATTTTGAACCGGTTCTAATAATTTTCAATCATGTTAATACCTGAACGAAATATCTGTGACAAAATTTGTTGAAATAGCTGCTATAATTTCTGAAAAAAAACTACTCAGCAATGAGAAAAACACGTAATATTTTCATGGATTGTTTCGGAATTTTGCTTATATTTTCTTTATTTATGGACCGATTTTACTAATTTTAAACAGAAAACATCTCGAAAACATGTCTGAAAGAATTATTGAAGATTCAGATGCCGCAGACATTTGGGATCTTCTAAAATGATTTCAACATATGTACATACGTATAAAACTAATAGAACCGAAGAGTCGACGATGTAGTTCTGATAGTAAACGAAAAATTTCCAAATACATTAGCAGAGGTAATGGAACGTGCTCTTAAGTTACTAATTCCACGTGCTACCAATTGTGGACTTTATACAGAAGACGGAACTTTATACGAAGATCGGAAGGGAAATTTTGACATTATCAAATCAGACCAAACAAAAGCTTAACGGAAAAATATGGAGGCATAGAACATGTCTGATTTACTGGATATACAAAGCCATAGTCAGGCAAATTCTAGCGCATGAACCATGCATTATTCATTTAGAGGGTTATCGCAATCTCAATATCAGGGGCACGAAGATCCATTGCTACTGAGGCTACTACTCAGTAGCTTTAAGAACTCAAAACAGTCTCAACTAGAGTGAATAAATAAATAAGAATCAACGATATGGGACATTCTTCACTTACAAAATACTATCACTACAAAATATCACGTCGAATTGCAAATAATTCACATCGGTTGGCGCAGAGACCAATATTTACAAGTGATATCACTAACTATATAGATTGTCAATTTGTTTTGTCAATTTTTGAAGGGTTTTATACTTACAGTATGTTTGCAAGAGTCTGTAACTTCGATCATTTGCTTCGATTAATGAATATACCTGAAAGACGTTTAGAACGTTAGCTTTTTCGTTAGATAGCACAGTTGATCAAACCATGTTTCGTTGTAGGGTTATCGGGCGATGTGTACTAGATAAATTCCCTAATCAGTTCCATTATTCCGAAATGCGGGATATCTGGTTACGTTAGTTATTACCATAATGAATTCAATTTATTAAAATGTAATTATTTAATGTTAGAAGTTAAATTCATATTTATTATTCTAAATTATTTAAAGAAAATGTAAATGGAATTAACACAGGATTTCATTTTTTCATTTTTTGTAATAAACTAAAAAATAATTGTAATAATTAATTTTATTGTTAAAGTACTTATATACATAAGTAGGTATTCAATACCTATTGTTTGGTTCCATAAATTTAATTTATAACATCCAAAGACTTTATAATACATATTTAAAAGTTTTAAAAGGACTGAACATACCTTTAGTAAAATTTAATCCTTTTTATATAATACGAGTTATTTACAGATCGCAATTCATCTAAAATTATAAAAGATAAATTAAAACCAATTAAAATTATATGTTTTGAAAAGTTTTATATCAAAAAGTAACTCACATTTATAAAAGCTTATTAGATCCTCCAATTTCATAAATGCCTGTTGATAAATCAGAGATTGCATTGTTTCTTAGTCTATTTCTTTCCATTACGGTCATTTCTGTTTTCATCAGGATCTCTCATATGTAGGTGTACTTGCCGGAATTTATAGAAAATGTCACCCCTTATTTCCTCCAATTTCGTAACAGATATTTTATCAATTAAAAGTTTAAGCCTTACATGGCTGTTTTTATTACACTTTTCCAACAATTTCCAAGCATAAACATGTAGCCCTTCATTTTGCCATTGTATAAAGGAAAGGATTTTATCCGACCGATCTTCAAACGAGTTTTGAAAGAAACCAACTACAACTTTTGGGTGAGTTATCCTTGAATCATCTATTGCCGAGGTTTTATCTAGTGGACATAAGTCTTTTGCATGATTCTTGTATTGGCCTTAACTTTGGTGACAATATCCCTTTTGGTTTCATTTGAGATAACTGTAGTTGAACAAGTAGCCTTGTTTGAGACATTAAGTTTTTCAGGTAATATTCCTTGATTTTCAGCTGAGTTAAAACACATATCCACCCACACTGAGGTTCCATTCATATCTATGTATATGATTAGGATCAGTAGATCTTTCTTTCTGATTCTATATTTGTCCTGTTTGGTGGAGTTTGAATTTTCTTACCCTTAGTATACTTTTTCTTTAACTTTCTCGGAATATTAAGTATACATAACACACTACGTACCTAACGCATTGGTTTCAATCCTAATTTATGATTCGTTTGTTCTGATTGGTTATTTAGAATTGTTTCTGATTCTTCAGTTATCTTTATTGGAGAAGTTTGAATTGTCTTCCCCTTAATATAATTTGTATCAGATTTCTCATTTGAATTAATTATCTTTTCATTTTCATTACTTCTTGACGATTTCTCAATAACAGAGGCCAAGTTGCCCACCTCTTCTCTTGGTAAAAATTTTCTGGTTAATACAAGTGCTGCTGAGTTGACAATCTATGGCTGATTGGACATCGTTGTTACTGTTGGATCTCAGTCAGACTCCTTTATTACAAATGGATTTAAATGCTACTAAATATACAAAATTAATCGTCCTCTTTCTTTTTCCTAAACATTTTTATTATAGTCATGTTATTGGAATATTTTAGCAGTATTTCTTTCGATCGATGTAATTTGGTCGCAGAACATGTTGGTCCTTTGGAAGTAGTAGTTTCTTTTCCAAATTTAGTAGCACATTTTTAAACCAAACTTCCGATTACCTAACACACAGTCAGTCCTATTGTTTAATTTCTATTATAAATAAATTTATTCAAAGTAAAATCTAAAATTGATATTTATTTGTCCGAATTATTTAAAGAAAACATTAAGGTGAACTAATGAAATGAATACAAAAATATCGCTTGATTAGCGTTTTATGATTAACTTAAAAAAAAGAACATTACAATAATATAACTAAAAAAAATATAATTAGATATTAAAATTACTCAATACGTAGCGTTTTTTATTATTCTAAAATAAAAATGTTTCATTTATAACATCCAAAGATTTTACCATTAAAGTTTTGAAAAGTTGAAGAGTAAAGGCTGACAAACCTTTGGTTACATTATGATTTAGTTGTATGGGATCTTGTACAACAATTGTTTTGTCCAGTTGTAAAGCATAATCGGGTGAGCTTTTAACATAGTCAGTATATCTTAATAAAAATTAAAGAATTCTATAAGTACTTATTTATAAAGTAAAATCTAAAATTAAAACAAACCTGCTTGGCATATGCGTATTAACTTCGGCCTTTTTAATAGTTTTACCCAAATATGGACATACAACATTTTGATCAAAATCATAACTTGTATAAAACATAAAGAAACCTCTAATAAATTTCAGCAAATTTGGTTGACCCACATCCTCTAGTTTTATATTGAGATCATTTAAAGTCAAGGTGGCATATGAGCATAACCAAGCTGTAGAAAAAAAGAATGAAGTTAAAGCATTTCTTTTAGACTATATACTAGACTATACACTAGACCATTGAAGTCTACAGTCTAGTCTATAGTCTAGTCTATAGTCTAGTCTATAGTCTAGTCTATAGTCTAGTCTATAGTCTAGTCTATAGTCTAGTCTATAGTCTAGTCTATAGTCTAGTCTATAGTCTAGTCTATAGTCTAGTCTATAGTCTAGTCTATAGTCTAGTCTATAGTCTAGTCTATAGTCTAGTCTATAGTCTAGTCTATAGTCTAGTCTATAGTCTAGTCTATAGTCTAGTCTATAGTCTAGTCTATAGTCTAGTATCTAGTCTATAGTCTAGTCTATAGTCTAGTCTATAGTCTAGTCTATAGTCTAGTCTATAGTCTAGTCTATAGTCTAGTCTATAGTCTAGTCTATAGTCTAGTCTATAGTCTAGTCTATAGTCTAGTCTATAGTCTAGTCTATAGTCTAGTCTATAGTCTAGTCTATAGTCTAGTCTATAGTCTAGTCTATAGTCTAGTCTATAGTCTAGTCTATAGTCTAGTCTATAGTCTAGTCTATAGTCTAGTCTATAGTCTAGTCTATAGTCTAGTCTATAGTCTAGTCTATAGTCTAGTCTATAGTCTAGTCTATAGTCTAGTCTATAGTCTAGTCTATAGTCTAGTCTATAGTCTAGTCTATAGTCTAGTCTATAGTCTAGTCTATAGTCTAGTCTATAGTCTAGTCTATAGTCTAGTCTATAGTCTAGTCTATAGTCTAGTCTATAGTCTAGTCTATAGTCTAGTCTATAGTCTAGTCTATAGTCTAGTCTATAGTCTAGTCTATAGTCTAGTCTATAGTCTAGTCTATAGTCTAGTCTATAGTCTAGTCTATAGTCTAGTCTATAGTCTAGTCTATAGTCTAGTCTATAGTCTAGTCTATAGTCTAGTCTATAGTCTAGTCTATAGTCTAGTCTATAGTCTAGTCTATAGTCTAGTCTATAGTCTAGTCTATAGTCTAGTCTATAGTCTAGTCTATAGTCTAGTCTATAGTCTAGTCTATAGTCTAGTCTATAGTCTAGTCTATAGTCTAGTCTATAGTCTAGTCTATAGTCTAGTCTATAGTCTAGTCTATAGTCTAGTCTATAGTCTAGTCTATAGTCTAGTCTATAGTCTAGTCTATAGTCTAGTCTATAGTCTAGTCTATAGTCTAGTCTATAGTCTAGTCTAGTCTATAGTCTAGTCTATAGTCTAGTCTATAGTCTAGTCTATAGTCTAGTCTATAGTCTAGTCTATAGTCTAGTCTATAGTCTAGTCTATAGTCTAGTCTATATCTAGTCTATAGTCTAGTCTATAGTCTAGTCTATAGTCTAGTCTATAGTCTAGTCTATAGTCTAGTCTATAGTCTAGTCTATAGTCTAGTCTATAGTCTAGACTATAGTCTAGTCTATAGTCTAGTCTATAGTCTAGTCTACAGTCTAGTCTATAGTCTAGTCTATAGTCTAGTCTATAGTCTAGTCTATAGTCTAGTCTATAGTCTAGTCTATAGTCTAGTCTATAGTCTAGTCTATAGTCTAGTCTATAGTCTAGTCTATAGTCTAGTCTATAGTATAGTCTATAGTCTAGTCTGTAGTCTAGTCTATAGTCTAGTCTATATCTAGTCTATAGTCTAGTCTATAGTCTAGTCTATAGTCTAGTCTATAGTCTAGTCTATAGTCTAGTCTATAGTCTAGTCTATAGTCTAGTCTATAGTCTAGTCTATAGTCTAGTCTATAGTCTAGTCTATAGTCTAGTCTATAGTCTAGTCTATAGTCTAGTCTATAGTCTAGTCTATAGTCTAGTCTATAGTCTAGTCTATAGTCTAGTCTATAGTCTAGTCTTAGTCTAGTCTAGTCTATAGTCTAGTCTATAGTCTAGTCTATAGTCTAGTCTATAGTCTAGTCTATAGTCTAGTCTATAGTCTAGTCTATAGTCTAGTCTATATTCTAGTCTATAGTCTAGTCCATAGTCTAGTCTATAGTCTAGTCTAGTCTAGTCTATAGTCTAGTCTTATCTATAGTCTAGTCTTATCTATAGTCTAGTCTTATCTATGTCTAGTCTTATCTATAGTCTAGTCTTATCTATAGTCTAGTCTTATCTATGTCTAGTCTTATCTATAGTCTAGTCTTATCTATAGTCTAGTCTTATCTATAGTCTAGTCTTATCTATGTCTAGTCTTATCTATAGTCTAGTCTTATCTATAGTCTAGTATTATCTATGTCTAGTCTTATCTATAGTCTAGTCTTATCTATAGTCTAGTCTTATCTATAGTCTAGTCTATATTTAAGTCTATAGTCTAGTCTATATTCAAGTCTATAGTTTAGTCTATAGTCTTATCTAGTCTATAGTGAAGTCTATAGTTTTATCTAGTCTATAGTCTAATCTATTCTATAGTCTAGACTATAGGAAGTACAAGTCAAAAAAAGATATATTAAAAAATGTTCGAAAGTCGTTTAGTTGAAAATTGCAAAAAAGTCTAAAAACTGTCATTTCATAAATTTTGTATCATCTAAAACCATAGCATTAAGTAAAATGTGGTGATTCACGATGATTCAAATATTTACGATAACTTTCAAAAGGGAAAAACCTACAATCATTATCAGAATTTGGGAAATCCCACCAATGTCAAAAGTATAAAATTCGAATAGAAATATTTTACACTCAAATCAATTAAATAATACAAAAAATCATATACTTACGACCAACAGTTAAGGCCTTTTCTTGATTAATGTTTGCTTGAAATTTCTCAACCGACGGTAGAGCCTTCTCAGTTTGTAAATAAAATATTACCATTAAAATTACAGAATATGTACTGATTTCAGTATAGAGACTTGTACGATTAAGCCATTTTTTCATAAAAATACACAATAAACGAGCTAAAATAGAAAATAGTTAATAAGTAGAAGTTTCATGTTAACATTACAAAACAGCATCAATAAAACAACTCACCAATTGGTTGCAAATTGAAAATAAACTCTAGAAATTTGGTATTAATTGTACCCAAACTATTAGAAAAATTAATATCACATTCAATACCGGTACGTGCATGTATTATTTTTATAATAGGAACACGAGCCTTATCGATCTGCACTATACTCTTCCAGGATTTGCGATGATTCATTAAAGAAGTACCAACTTTCTGAAGCTTAGCGAGAGTTTCCTTATCAGCACGATTTTGAAATACATTGAAAGTGTCACCAATGTCAATAAATAAATCTAAATCTGATTCGCGAGTGCCAATGCCAGCTAATCGAGAACCAAATTTATAAATTTTAACATTATCATTTGGAAACAGGGGCTTTATAAGAGACAATAAATCACTTTCAATAACATCATAGTCGGGTATAAATTTAAGTTTGCTGCCAATTTTAACATGGTCCACGAAGAATTGATTAAAATCGGTGGTCAATAGAGAACGGGTTTCTAAAAAAAAATAAATAAAGAGATACCTCGTTCAAGATAAGGATAACAAAATATGTTTAGGAAATCCTACTTTTAGTTAATTTAACCGTCTGATCCAAACGTTGCTCTTGCTTTTTCTGCATCATCTCCTTGCGCACTTCCCCTTTAGTTTTTTTGCGCTCACGTTCTTTACACTCTTTGGCAGAATTCGTTTCACTAGTTTGACGGCTGATACCGGCAGCAACTGCAGCCGTTTTATCACCACCGCCATGAGCAACACACTGATCAATCAAATGTAAAGTTACTTTCTCTACAGATTTACCCAAATCGGTTTTACAGTTTGAACAATGGTAAATTCTCTTAATGTTATTGAGGTTATTGCAAGCCACCAGTTTTGTATTTTCAGTAGCCAAGATTTCACTTGGATTTGAGTCCAAAAATGTCTCAATAGCAGTCATTACCTTTTCCAATGAACTTATTAATACGGCATCATATTGATGATATGTCTTGGACAAAGACTCCAAATTGTTCACAAACATCTCTGCCTCGAATGTTATGGGATTCATCTGCCACAAGCGCATTATACAATCAACAATAAATTTACGCAATGTTAAATCAGAAAAATGTATGCAAACTTACGTATTTTTGTGGTTTTATCTTGTCCATCTTGTTGTAGTTTTCTGCCAAACGCCGAATAAAAATTAACTTTTGTTAAATTTTCAGGTAATTCACGAAACTTTGTTGTTTATACAACTTCTTCTTCTTCTTTTTGATGATAATAAAATATGAATACCGATTACATTCATGAGAATCAAACTAGGGTTCTATAAATCGACTTTCGAATAATCGAACAATCGACTTTTTGTCGAAAAAAGTCGAAAAGTCGAAGTCGACTATTTTGTTCCAAAAAAGTCGATAACTCGACTATCGTCTGTGAAAAAAGTCGAAAAGTCGGCTTTGTTAATAAAAGTCGAAAAGTCTGAAAGTCGGAAAGTCGAAAAGTCGAAAAAAGTCGATAAGTTGGAAAAAGTCGAAGAAAGTCGAAAAAAGTTGAAAAAAGTTGAAAAAAGTCGAAAAAAGTCGTAAAAAGTCGAAAAGTCGGAAAAAGTCGAAAACTTGAAAATTGTAGAAAAAGTCAAAAATAGTCGGAAATTTTAAAAAAGTGGAAAAAAAGTCAAAAACTCTAAAATAGTCGGAAAAACTCGAAAAAAGTCAAAAAATAGTCGAAAAAAATTCGAAAGAAGTCGAAACTAGTCAAAAAGTCGAAAAAAAATCGAAAAGTCGGAAAAAGTGGAAAAGTCGGAAAAAGTCGACTATTTATAAAATACTTATAGTCGAAAAGTCTAAAAGTCAACTTTTAATTAAATGAAAAAAGTCGAAAAATCGACTTTTCATAAAATGCAAAAAGTCGAAAATTCGACTTTTAACTAAATTAAAAAAGTCGAAAAGCCGACTTTTCGTTTCAACTATAGAACCCTAAATCAAACCGATTCAAGATTATTGACGTCGGCACAATCATTTTTGGTTGGCGGATTGTAATAGAACTCTAGAAATTGTAAAAATTATTTTTTTAACATCAAATTTAATATTAAAAAGTTTTCAAATTAATTTCTTCCGAAAATCATTGGCTACGATTGAGCCGGCTCAATTTTTAAGCGACTGCCGATTTTAGTATATTTTACTTGTATGTATGTATATCTAATATCACGCTACCCTGCAAACAATTGCTATCTAAATAGTATCCATAACGTAACAACGTGTAGGTAAAAATATCTAAAAAACATCTAATATTGCACAATTTGAAAGGAAGAAAAGTGACCGCGTTGGTAAGAAACTGTTCCTCCTGTTTAATACTTACTTAGTGAGTCGATTTCGTTTCACTTTTAAGTCACTTTTTTATAGCATAAAAGTGCGTAAAATTAGTAAAATTTCCAGTTTTGCCATAGCAATAGGGAAACTGGAAATTTATCTAATTTTACACTATTTGATGTAGTAAAAGCGACTTTATAATACATTTTCTTTATTTCTCTTACTTTATGAATAATTTAAAATTGTTTATACTCACTAATCTCTCACTTATGTTTATTATATATTAAATTTATTTTTTATATATTAAATTTTAAATAAAATCATTACAAAATTTCACAATGTGTTACTATTCACACAACTGATCACTATAAACTTAATATATTTACTGAAATATACAAACACTTTCTTAAATTATCTTGTTGTGTATTAAAAAGTGTTCTTTTTATACATTTTTATTCTATCTAATTATTATCATTTACGTTTCTTTTTGGTATATTAGGTCGAACTTAAATTTTACAAAAATGGGATAAAAATTAGAAAATAATGTATTTTGTTTTTGTAAATATTTTTATTTAGCACTGAGATACATGAAGTTGAGCCTAAATAGTGTAAATTTAGTTCATTTATCCAAAATTAAACTCAAATTTGCTGACAGGGTATTTACTTAAATGTGTTAACTGTCAAAGCACCTTGAAAATATTGGTTGCTGACTGCATGAAGGAGAAAAATAACGGAATTTTTTTATTAAACAAAAAAACTTGTTTTGTTCCCCAAAAAACGTGAATTATCCAAAATGTGACAGTAGAAAGTAATACATATCATAAGTAAATATATTTTTAACCAAAAATATTTTATTTAATTGTTTAATTCAAAATTTATTAAATAAAAAAAATTAATATCAAGATATTCTAAATCTTTAAAGTTCATAACATTTTACTGACTCACCGAATAATATAAGTATAGTATTTTAAAATCGCATACAACTAGATTTTCGGGAATATAGTAAAATACATGAGATTTTGATCGAAACTAGACGATATTTAGTATTTGTGTCAGAGCCCTGCGCCGACAAATATTAACGGCGGCGGCGACTGACACTAAATATGTCGGCGGCGGCTTAAAATCGACTGTAAGCCGGCTAAGTTTTCAACTACGTTTAGTTTTTAAATTTTCAACGATTTTAAATAAAAACGGAATCCGAGAGATCAGAAAGTGGGATTTTGGAAGCAAATATATTGTTTATAACAACAAAACAGATCAAGCTTAAAAGTTCTGTGAGAAATTATGCAGGGATGAATAAAAAATTCTTAAAAATTAAAAACAAATCCTTTCTCCAAGTTTTACGAGGATCTGCCGATATTTAACCGTATCCTCCATATAAAACGTAAAAACAAAGATATTTTATTTGTTTATTTACTAGCTATACCCAGTGTGCTGTGCTACCCTAAAAGTAATATAAATAAGAAATCCAGTTAACGATTTTGATGATTCTATATGGGAGATTTCACGCAAATTATTGCAATTTCTCTAAATGTTCTTCAGTAAAATTTGAAGATTCTAGCTCTAATAGTTTCTCAGATATACGAATTTTTTCTATTTAATTCATATGGGAGCTCCAAGCCCCCAGATGAAAGTCCGCCGTTTTTTCTCCAAAATGTTCAGATGAATATTAAAGTTCTTCGTGCAAAATTTGAAGAATTTAATTCTATTAGTTTCCCAGATAAACGAATTTTTGTATTTAATTTATATAGGAGGTTCCGCTCCCCTCATTGGTAGTCCCCCAATTTATTACCCAAAATGTTTACATGGATGGTAAAGTTCTTCCAGAACAACATCATTTAAAGGGATCACAAAGAGATTGAAAAATATTCCAAAAGTTTCACTTTGAAAACATTATTAGAGTGTATGAAAACTCGCAACTCTAAAGGCAGACTATTCCTATTTTAGCGGTAATTTCTTTATGATTAAAATAAGTAAGGACTATCATAATGATAACTTTTGGAATGATGTGTTAGCTATAAACTGATTTTCTATAAGAGGGTTATATTGGCTTACCGATCCTCAAAATTTTATTTTTCATAAATGTAGGTTTCGGTTCCTAAAAATGTTTTTTTCTTCGACACCGACATTTGAAAGCCATTTATGTGCGTTTAAGTCATTTTCTGAAGAAGATTTCATATACATATTTACATTACATATTTTCGTTCCAACAAAAATTGTTTTATTATGGTATTATTAAGTACGTAGAAAACGTTAAAATCAATTATTGAAGGGGGCAGGGTCAATTATGGCCTATAGAGATTTCGATTGATATCGAGTCCTTTTTGCAAAATGGACGTAAGCGAGATAAATTTTCGTTCAATTAGGATACTGCGTGTTTAATTTTATGTTTATATATTCAATATTTTAGAAAATTCAAAAAGTACCAGTTAAAGAACGAAAAATTACCAGAAATACTCCAGTTTAAATTTTCATTCACTCAAGTCCCTGATTGCTTAGTTTTATGCAAAGAATAATAAGAAGTTGGGGCTTGTCAGTTGGTACGTAAAGGAGTTGTCATTCGGTACCTAACTCTAAGTATGTATTGGTAGAATTTTTGTATTAGTATTGGAGCTCCAACCACTTTCACCACACTTTCCAAACATACATACTTGCATAAAATCGTACATAAAATTTTTAGGAAAAATAAATAACATTAAAATTTCTACATTCGCAGATTTTTTTAATTTATTTTGCCCACATCTAATCAGTAAACATTTAATAAATATATATTTTTGGACTTAAAATCTCTTTTTTTGCAAAAAAATAAGTTTATTTTAAATAATTTTTTCATTTTCAATACCAAAATATACAACTTTGTTTTGTCAATTTTAATTTCAACACACAAAAATTAATTGTCAAAAAAATTAAAAAAAAATATTTTTCTAGTTTGTGAAAAATAAAAATATTTCGGATTGTTAAATGCGATAAAATTGTGTAAAAAATTAAAAAATAGTTATGTGTTTGTGAACAAACGTCGTTCAAGTCATATTATCCCGGTATTTTCGCGAAAAAGTTTTGAAGTATTGTGAGAGAATTGAGTTCTCACAAGAGTGTTGAATTTACACAGAACTCGTCTGTGAAGAGAAGGAAATGTTATTGTTGTAAAACAATGTCATAGTCCAACTTCTTATTATTCTTTGGTTTTATGTTTTTATGCTCATTATAATAGAAAATTCAAATAGTACCAGTTGAAGAACGAAAAAGCACCAAAAAGTCCCGTTTTATATGTTCTAACTTACTCCATGCCCTACAGGTTTAATTTCATGTCTATAGGTTCAATATTATAGAAAATGCAAAAAATACCTTTTGAAGAACGAAAAAGTACCAAAAAATCCCCTTTTATATGTTATCACTTAATCCGGGCTGTACATTCTTAATTTCATGTTTCTAGGTTCAATATTATAAAAAATTCAAAAAGTACCAGTCGAAGAACGAAAAAGTACCAAAAAGTCCCCTTTTATATGTTATCACTTAATCCGGGCTGTACATTCTTAATTTCATGTTTCTAGGTTCAATATTATAAAAAATTCAAAAAGTATAGATTATAATTTACTCCGGGCTCTACATATTTATTTTTATGTTTCTAGGTTTAATTTTATGGAAAACTCAAAAAGTACCAGTCGAAGTACGATAAAGTTCCCCTTTTATAGATTCTCATTTACTCCAGGCTCTAAGTGCTTAATTTCATGTTTCGAGGTTCAAATTTTGTAGCAAGCTCAAAGAGTACCAGTCAAAGAACGAAAAAGTACCAAAAAGTGCCATTTTATAGATTCTCATTTACTCCGGGCTCTACGTGCATAATTTCATGTTTCTATGTTCAATTTAGTGATCGATGAATATTACGGGAATTGGGGAATTGGGATAAACACTTCGAAGTCGGAAGCAATTTGCTTTCGGAACGCTTCAGGGAAAGGTCCCCGGGATGTGGTCAGGCGAAGTAAAACATTGAATCTCACGTTGAATGGCTCTGTTATCCCCTTCAGGGATCATTTGAAGTACCTCGGAGTAACATTTAATAAACTTTTTAAATTTAACCAACATGGTAGATTGGCTAAAGGCAAAGGACTGCGCATCAAGGGCATTTTTTCAAAACTTCTAATGAACAGACACTTAAGTCAAAAGGCCAAATTGTTACTGTATAAAGTCTGCATCCGCTCATCGGTAATTTATGGTTTTCCAGTTTGGTTCTCAATATCTCCAACCGTGATGAAAGAGTTGGAGGTTTTAGAGAGAAGCTGCTTAAGACACTGCGTTAACGCGAATTATGAAAATTATGTCAAAAGATTTTCAAATAGGAAAATTTATGGAAAGGCAGATGTACTGCCACTGTCTTCCTATGCTCTTGTCCTACTTGATAAGTTTGTAAATCGACTGGAAACCCACGATAACATTTTGATGATAAATGTTTATGAAACACAGGTTGTATTTGACTGGTCAAACAGTATATATAACTCACCTATTGGTATTATCGGAGAGGATATTTCTACGCTATCGAACTCAAGTCAATACTGTCTACCGGAGTTTTACTCCAGATCTACTATTGGCTCAAATAGGGGTTAATCTTTTTATCTTAGTTTATAATTTTTGTATATGTTGTTTAGTTTTAAGTTTCTTTTGATCTCAATGTTGACGTATAAGCAGTCTACGTAAACTTTTACTATATTTATTGAGCAATATAATTTTAATGTTTATTGTCTGATGTAAAATTCTGATGATCTTTTATTGTTAATGTGAGCATGTTGCGTTATTGTCTTGTATAATGTCTTCAATGTTTATTAAAATAATACATATAGTTTTAAGTTTATACAAATTAAATGTTATCGTTATTTAGTTCCATTGTAATCTGACTATCAAGTCTTAATAAAAGAATATTGAATATTGAATATGTTCAATCTAATAGAAAACTCAAAAAGTACCTTTTGAAGAACGAAAAAGTACCAAAAATTCCCCTTTTATAGGACCTCACTCAATCCGGGCTCTACATGCTTAATTTCACGTTTCTAGGTTCATTATTATACAAAAACTTAAAATGTACCTTTTGAAGAACCAAAAAGTCCCCTTTTACAGGTTCTCACTTAATAAAGGCTCTACACGCTTTCATGTTTCTACACAGAGGGAAAAAGAAATATACACTCCTGGTACCAAATTGACACCAAAGAGTTTATAATTTTCCGTTGTTAAAGTATATACATACGTACTACAACACTATGTAATGTTGACAACGCAACGTTGTTGACATTGCAACAATTCGTTGTCGAAATCTAAATTGTATACACATCTGTTGTCTAAATGTTAACAAACGTGGTAAGCTCACTATTGACAAACAATCCGTTGCCAGATGTGTATACAATTTAGATTTCGACAACGAATTGTTGCAATGTTAACAACGTTGCGTTGTCAACATTACATAGTGTTGTAGTACGTATGTATATACTTTAACAACGGAAAATTATAAACTCTTTGGTGTCAATTTGGTACCAGGAGTGTATATTTCCTTTTCCCTCTGTGTAGGTTTAATATTATAGAAAATTCAAAAAGTTCCTTTTGAAGAACGAAAAAGTACCAAAAAGTCCACTTTTATAGATTCTCAAGTGCTTAATTACATGTTTCTAAGTTTTAAGTCAAAAAAGTACCAGTCGAAGTACGATAAAGTACCAATAAGTCCCATTTTATAGATTCTCATTTACTCCGGACTTTACTTGCTTAATTTCATGTTTCTAGGTTAAATTTTATAGAAAACTCAAAAAGTACCTTTGTAGAACCAAAAAGTTCCGAAAAGTGCCTTAATTATTAATTTCATGTTTCGATTTCAATATCATAGAAAACTCAAAAAGTACCAATTGGAGAATGAAAAAGTACCAAAAAATATCACTTGGTACCGGTGTTTCAAATAACACCCCATTAGCATATTTAGTGTTTCTTGAATAAAATCAAATTTCCCGTTTTTACCCCTTTTGGTACTTTTTTCCTCCCCATTAACGAAATAAAAATTCTGTTCCAAAAAGTTGCAACATCGTATTGGGAGCCCGTTATTATGTATTCATATGTATATTTAAGTTAATAAACCAAAAACAATGTTTCATAAAAAAGTACCAAAAATAGGTAAAATTTTCACCCCTTAAACGTCCGAATATCCAAAAAGTAATAAATTCATATTTTTATTTGTTCGTCAAGTTATGAAGGATTCAAAAATATTTTTTTAATGTTCTCTTGTTTAAAAGATACATGGGGTGCAAAAGAAGTACCAAATTACAGTTTTAACCCGTTTATTCCCCAAAGGGGCCGAATTTGAAAAAATTACCGGACACCCAAAGTAAATTAATAAAGTAGCATCACTTGAACAGCTGACTATTTTTTTTAAACTAGATAAATGAAGCAAGTTGTCAAAGTTTGTTTTGAAAATTGTTAACATTGTTTACGTCGCCATTTTTAAATTGTGTTTTGCTATTTGTTAAAATTTAGTGAATTAAAAGTGGTTTTAAAGTAGTTTAAAAGTGTAATAAATTGTATAATCTATATTAATATAATTAAATCGTTAATATTTTTAACTTAAAAGTAATATTTTTTATTTATGTTTTGTTCACATTGTTGTTCAAGGAAATTTTATTTTGACACAATCTTAAATTATTCCAAAAACAAAATACAAGTGGTTGTTGTAGATGTTGTTGTACAACAAGAGATGTCGCTACCCAACAAGAACAGTGACAGTCATTTGATAGGTCATTTGACTGGCACTACTGATGTATTATTTCTATCACAGCGTAAAGCATAAAAAAATAAAATAAATATACCTTGGAATTATCCATTAACTATTTTTTTTTAGCAAATTTTATAAAAAAAATGTTGCAAGAGTGTTAGTGAAATCATTTTGTATGTGTTAGTTTCGGTCATACATTTCTTGTAGGGTACTTTATTAAATACTTTGCGGACACCTGTCCGCTTTTTTTAAATGAACGACGATAAGCTTTAACTGTTTTTGTAACTTTTCTAGTTTAGGAGATTTGAGGTTACCGAATTTACGTTTTTACCCTTTTTTAACCCCCAAAAAAATCCTTTTTTAAATGATATCGAACTCAATATTTAATGAATATTTGACATTTGATTTATCATATAATTGGTGATGGCAGTTTGTCGTATGACAGCCAAATAATTATATAGTGCAGGTCGCTAGAACCTCCATATGTTTTTTTTCGAGTTATCGAAATGCGTGTGGAGTAATCGTAAATACAAAAAAAAAAAGTTGCCAAATAAATTAAAGTTTAATGTTTTTGATCTGGCAATATCATTTTTACGATTGTTTGACATTTCCATAGTGAGAAAAAAATCGACTACAAATTTTTTTCTATATGCTGTGTGAGAAAATTATTAAAATAAAGTAAAAATTGTGAAAAAGTAATAAAATATTACGCATAATGGAGGTTGCTACTGATGTAAGCAAAAATATAAATGCAAAATCTATTGAATCTTCTAATAGTGAGGGAAAAGCAGATTCAGAAAATCTCGATGGTGTAAAGACAGCACCGCCTGTGAACAACGCCATTAATGGTGCGGCAAATGAAAATTTAAGTGAGACGGGCACACCAGAAGTTGTGGCTCCTAGTAAGGAATCCTGGTAAGTTTTATTATTTGATATTAATATCATTAGTTATAAGAATGAACATTTATTAAATTTTTGCATGGTGTTAGGACACCTGCACAAAATCCTGTGCCATTTGCCGGACATGGCGGTGGGCCACCAGGATCATTTAGGGGACGTGGAGGCTTAATAATGCATTTTAACCGCGGTGGCGGTAGGGGAGGTGCTACACACTTTAATCGTCCATTTGATCCAAATTCACAAAATAATTCTGGACATAATGCTGGCGCGCCGCCAGGTGGTCCCCAGTTGGAGTTATGGGTGGAAACTAAAACGGAAGATGGTAAATCTTACTATTATCATGCCCTAACTAGGGAAACGACATGGACAAAACCAGAGGGACCAAATATTAAGGTTATGACACAAACCGAAATTGAAGAAATGAATAAAAAACAACAACTGCAACAACCATCGCAAGGTAACCAAGCACCATCCAGTGGGGCCACCAATATAGTTAATGGGAGTGCCGAGGAAGCAGTCAAAGAAAAAGCTGACAGTGCAACTACTATTCCAGAAAAAACAATTACATCACAGCCTCCGCCGGGCATGATGTCACAACCGCCTCCAGGCCAACAACCATTATCACAACCACCACCTAATTTGGCACCAGCGGGTATGCCGCCAGGACCTCAACACCAACATCCTCCAGGATTACATCAACAGCCTCCACCTTTCTTTGGCGCAGGCATGCATCCGCCAAATTTCAACCAACCTCCATTTGGTATGCCTCCTCCTGGATATGGTGGCGGTTTTCCAGGTGCTCCCGGAGCTGCACCATGGGCAGCTATGCATTGGAATCAGCATATGCATCCACCAGCAGCTGCCCAAGAAAAACCGGCTAAAAATCTCATAATAAAACCTGGTGTTATTGACCCGGCTGTTATAGCCAGAGCTGCAGAATGGTCGGAACATAGAGCTCCGGATGGTCGTCCGTATTATTATCATGCCGGTAGGGGTGAAAGTGTTTGGGAAAAACCACAAGCTTTACGTGATATGGAAGCTGCACGAATGGCCGCTCATGGCGCTACACCGCAACCTACTGCGGCGGCTCCTCCCACTCCATCTTTAGTTTCTGGCATGCCACCGCATATGATGGCAAATCCTTTAATGCATATGCAGGCACCGAATCCGGCTTTCACCGCGGATCCAGCAATAGCATATGCCCAAGCCGCTGCAGCAGCAGCCGCCGCCGCTGGTATTAAACCTATGAATGAATCGTCCAAAACAGCCGCTATGGAAAAAGAAGCCAAGAAGAATGCCGAAGAAAAACGCAAAAAAGAAGATGAACAAAAGAAAACCACTGCTGCAGCTAAGCCGGTGGATAAATCGAGGCCCATCTCTAGCACACCAATACCAGGCACTCCCTGGTGTGTTGTCTGGACCGGTGATGCTAGAGTTTTCTTCTATAATCCCTCAACGCGCACTTCTGTTTGGGAACGCCCAGAAGATTTACTGGAACGCGAAGAAGTCGACAAAGCCATTAACAATCCACCGGAACAACTTAAAGGGGTCATGGCTTCAAAGGCAGACAAGTTGGAAAGTGAAAGAGACAGGGCAAAGATGACTTCAGTTTCAAATCTAACGAAAGAGCTTGGTGATTTTCATATGCAGGAGGATGATGACGATGATGAGATTATTAAAATAAAAACAGAATCCGAATCAGATGTTGAAGAAGTTACAGCTAAGAAAACACGTTTAAGTAGGTTGAGAGAAAGTTTTATGAAAAAATAATTATTAATATTTGTTTTTTTTTTTTTTTTTCAAAAAGCCAAATCCAAAAAGACCGATGCCATTGAAGCCGCTATTGAGGCTGAGGTAAGAGCCGCTAAAGAACGTGCTCTTGTACCCTTGGAAACACGAGTAAAACAATTTAAGGAAATGTTACGTGAAAAAGATGTACGTATTAATAAAAGTTACACACATATTAAAGACAACAACTAATACTTATTGCAAATGTATTTGCAGGTTTCGGCTTTTAGCACTTGGGAAAAAGAACTACATAAGATTGTATTCGACCCACGCTATCTATTGCTAACATCTAAGGAACGCAAACAAGTTTTTGAAAAATACGTTAAAGATCGTGCAGAAGAGGAGCGCAAGGAGAAACGCAATAAAATGAGACAAAAGAGAGATGATTTTCGTAAACTTTTGGAGGATGCTAAGCTGCATGGAAAGTAAGTTATTGACTTTTAAAACTCTGTGAAGAATAATTTTCAATAAATTACTTTTTTTAGATCTTCATTTAGTGATTTTTGTCAGCGCTATGGTAAAGATGAACGTTACAAGGCAATTGAAAAAGTGCGCGAGCGTGAATCGCTCTTCAATGAATATCTCTTGGATGTAAGGCGACGAGAGAAAGAAGAAAAACAACAGAAAAAAGAACAGGTATGTGTAACAATTATACTAAATAAAATTGAATTTCTTTTTTTTTTTTTGGAATTCAATCTTTATATCCATTTTCAATATTACGTATTACAAGCAATAAATAATGATGATACAACCGTGGTTTTATGTATTCACTTACATAAATTTACAATATTTATATATTCTTGTTCTTTTTATAAAATGTAAATAATGATTGCAAAATTTTAGAAAACAAATATTAATTAAATTTATATATTATATATTTTACTTATGACTATTTAATTTTCAACCCACAAAAAAAAAAAAAACAAAACTACAAAACTTGTATAGATTTCAGCCTTTCGATCACAATATCCAACCACCAACCACTTTGTGTGTGTGAGAGTGTGTGTTAATTTTACATTTTATTGCCAAATGCGATGAAATGAATACAAAGGTATTGAAACTTGAAAGGATGTGATTAAAAGGCAACTACTTACCACTCCCTCTACTCTTTCTCTTTTTCCGTGTGAGTGTATGTGAGAATATTGATGTGGGTATGTGCGAGAGCAACCCCCAAATTCTAATTGATTGATCGAAGGTGGTTACTTAACAAAACAGACAAATTTTAAATGATAGAAAGATAAGCAAACAAACAAACTTAAACACATGGGATAGCGTAAGTGCGTTAAATCGCTTTAGTACAAATTTTTAGAAAATCTTGTTTAGCAAAAACATTTTTTTGTTACCAAACATTTTTTTACACACAACCGAAACAACCAATCAACCTACCTACCGAACGTGCAACTTACCACAATTTCATAACATAGCCGACTATTGAGAAGAAACCCCCCGAGGACTTTGACGTTATCAATCATGCATGATGGTATTGAGCTGAGTGAACAACTACAACAACCCACCACCTGTTTACCACAATAATAACCCTAACCTTAGAGCCTTAATTTTCCACAGCGAGTGTGGTGAGTTATCCAATGAAATCAAAAAATAAAAAATAATATTCTAACAGAATCAGTTGAATGTTGATAAAAATATAAAAAAAAAAAACTATTACAAAAAAATCACAAATACAAAACTATGCTGATTTATATCGTTGGTGATTTACCCCCTTCTGTTAGGCTAAATAGAGGATTTCGGATAGACATACTTCAATCATAGACGGAGGCAGAAATCATCAAACATCATGGATTTATCTATGTCTATGTTGTGCCATTGTATTGTACTGTTTTCTTGTATTTTGGTTTGATTGCTGCTGCTTTATGTCCAGATTGTTCCAAAATTATCCAATCTCCGTGTGTGTCGTTTGCATTTGCGAAGCTGCTATTTTGCTGTACGATTGATTCTCAAAAAAAAAAAACAAAACAGTATGAAAACATAATAAATATTTATGTTTAAAAACAACTAATCATTTATAAATTCTTTTTCAGCGTGTCTGAGATGTGCGTGTAAATGATATTTGTAAAGTGTTTTCCAATTTTTTTTATATTTTATTTCACTTGATTGTCTTAATATTTTATATAAATTTAAGCAAAGCTTTAGTCAAAACTTTGTATTGCTTTTGAAACGATTCTTTTGGAAATTAACCATTTTTAAAATTGAGGAAGGTCTCGATTTGGCATCTATTTCAAAATTAACTTCCCTAGCTTACGACTCCAAATTATATATCAATCTCTTTTACATTACAGTTTATAATTTGAGAAAGAAATTAAATGCATGGATAATATACATATGTTCAACTATGACTCCTCCATTTTGGGTTATTATCAAGATCTTTCCTAACATTTTAAAATATTTTTTTAAATAAATATCAATAAAGATAAAGATGTCGATTTGGCAATTTGTATATAAAAATTTTCTAATTTTACGATTCTAAATCGTGGACCAGTTCATAATTTGTAAAATTATTAAAGATGATCCAAAGCTGAGATATGTTTAACCACAACTCCTCGATTTTGCAATATCTCGAACAATATTTAAATAATTTAAATAAAACATCAAAAACCGAATTTTACTTTTTCGGAAATTATCAATAACTCTTTCTTTTTTCTAGTATTAATTAGATTAAATATTATTTACACGTACATTTCACTGTTTTTCATATTATCTTGTTACATTTTCTTTATTATTATTATTGTGTACGTCTGTCCGTCCTTCCGTTCAAAAGAGATTAAAAAAACCTTCATGCCTGGCGTACACAAATTTTTAATTTATTTATTATATTTAAGTCAACTGTTAGATTCATTTTAATTGTAAACTAAATAATGCAACTTCTTTTTCAGCCACCACAAACGTAATTAAACTATTTAAGTTATTTCTAAGAACTAAGGTAGTTTTTAAAATCCTATAATCGATATAAGTTTTAATTTCCCACAAAAAACATCAATTATTTCATTTGAAAAAAACTAAAAGACTTGTATTTATTCTCTTTCTCTCCCTTCTATTTCGATTTGTCTTTGTGCTGGATAACCATTTATATTGGTTGCAACAACCAAATAGATACGCAAAGATTTTATTGAAATGTTGCGTGAACGAGGTGATTCTTTGGATCGTCATTGTCGTTGGCATGAGGTGAAGAAGAAGTTTGAAGGAGATTCTCGTTATCGTGCGGTAGAGAATTCTATGTACAGGGAGGACTATTTCCATGAATATATGCGTATGCAGAAGGATGAGAAGAGACGTAAGGAAAAAGATCGCAAAAAGGATCGAGAGCGTGAAGAGATGGAAAGGAAATCGGAACGTAAAAGTGATCGTCGTGACAAAGATCGCCGTGATCGCAGCCGTAGCCGTGACAAGGATCGTTCGGATAGAGATGGTAAGGATAAGGATTACAAGGAGAAGGACAAGGACAGAAGAGACAGAGATAAGGAAAAGAGCAGCAAAGACAAAGATGATAAAAAGAAAAATGATGATTATGTGAGTTGAAGAGGCAAAAAACGTCTAGAATATTGTTTATTATTTTTGTTGTTTTTGTGGGTTTGTAGGAAGAGGGAGAACAGCCTACGGAGGAGGAGCATTCTGCCAGCGAACAGGAACAGGAAGCTGAACGTCTACAGAAGGAACGTGATCGTCAATTGAGAGCCGAACAGAGTATACGTGAGCGAGAGAAGGAAGTACATAGGACATTGGCTGGTCATTTGCGTGATCGTGATAAGGAACGTGAATTGCATAAACGTGAAGAGGCAGTTGGTCACTTCAATGCTTTACTTACAGATTTAGTACGTAATGCCGATCTCACCTGGAAGGAAGTCAAGCGTCAGTTGCGCAAAGATCATCGTTGGGAATTAGTTGAATATCTTGATCGCGATGAACGTGAAAGGTAACTAAATCATACTTATCAAACAAAATAGGAAATTAATTTTTTTTTTATTTTTAATTACAAAAACAAGAATCTTCAATGAACACATTGATAATTTAATGAAAAAGAAACGTGAAAAATTCCGTGAAATGTTAGATGAAATCACCACTTTGCAATTGACCAGTTCTTGGAAGGATATTAAGAAACTCATTAAAGAGGATCCACGTTATTTGAAATATAATAATTCCGAAAAATGTGAACGTGAATTCAGGGATTATATAGTGGATAAAACATTGGCCGCCAAAAGCGCTCTCAAGGAATTGCTTAAGGAATGTAAACTTATAACACACAAAAGTCATGAACTAGTCAAAGAAAATCCAAATCATCTTAAAGAAATACAAGATATTTTAAAAATGGACAAAAGGTAAAAGAAATAATAAATATATTTCCCTGAAATATTATAAACTGAAAATATCCTTCATTTTAGATATTTAATAATAGAACACTTAGCTGAAGAACGCACCGCTATTGTCATCAACTATTTAGAGGAATTACACAAACGTGGACCACCGCCACCACCTACGGCGTCAGATGCTACACGCCGCATCAAATAAAATGTGGTAGAAAAAACTTTAATAAAAATCGTCATATTTTTCTAAATCTATATTATAATATAAACCTTATTATCTTTATCCTTTCTTTGTCTCCTCCTATATGCATATCTTGCAAAGTATTTTTTATTTTCTTAAAAAAGAAATCATACAAATATAATATTATAAAATTATTATTGAGAAAATCATAATGACAGGGCATAAATAATTATGTTTGTTTATTTCTTGCTAAATTTATAGATTTAATTTATCTATAAATTTATTATTTTTTAATTTGTGTGCAAATTTATACATACATAATATAACAAAGAAAAATTTACATTTCACAAATGTTTTCATTTAAAAGAAACTATAATTAAATAAATTAATTTTAACACTTTTGGTCACTTTTAAAAAAATTAATTTTTTTATTTATGATAAAACAGAATAAAATATGTTTGGCGGATTTCTTGTGAAACATTTTTTGTAAAATGTAAATTCTGGAAATATTTTACACAAAAAACTTCAGAGAACAAAGATTTTTTTTTAAAGTACGTGTGGAAATGAGTTTTAACAAGGTTTGTAACTCGAACTTTGAAAATTCCAATAAATACTAAGGCAGTTAATAAATATAACTTTTTAATTTGTTTAATTTTGAAAAAGATAGTCTACCAACTATATATGGCCCTATGGGCTCGGTTGGTTTTTCGTAAATAAATAAATACAAAAAGGAAGATTATTAATAAAATTTACAAAATTAGTTTCATGTTTTGTTGACAGATATAATTGCTTTTTAACGGTCAAAATACTATTGTGAATAACATAACATTGCTTTTATTGTGATTATACCTGTTTCTTTCCATTCCATTTCCGTTTATTGTTAATGTTTAACTTCAACAGCTGTTAGCAGGTCTATTGTGAATGACTTCATATTTTTCACATTCAGTGTTTTCTTTTTTGGTGTGCAGAGTGAAATTATCTAATTATTTAGTGAATTTTATCAATTAAAATTTATACCAAAAATGTCCTTGCTAACAAATACGCTGAGGACTACAATCAATGGTTTAACAAAATTATGTAAATCGACTACAGCAAATCTTACACCTGCAGCTACCGGTGCCCTCTTGAACAGCAGACAGCTATCGTTCGAGGAAAAAAGAGCACGAGGACCCTTAGTCCGCCGTCATGGCTACAAAGATCATCTCTTACAAGGAGGTTTATTACCTCATCTGGATAATGGCCAAAAGTTGCCTATGCCTGATTATCGTCCCAAAAATGCCTGGAATACAAAACGTGCCCTATTCGGTCAGAATGATTACATTGATATTTTGGGCAATGAACGTTTACATCCAACAAAAGTTTTGTATTCGGTACCTTCCTGGTTGCGTGGTGTGTCCGGTAATGAATATCAAGTCTTGTTGCGAAAACGTAAAATGCTTTCGAAGACACTTTATCCAGTTGCCCGCCCTACCAAATGGAAACATTTACAAAAGCGTATTTTATATTTGTATAAGTTCTTGAATCGTAAAACGAAAACTGGCTTCTCTAAGCAATAAATGGGAATATTTCATTTTGTATCTAGTATATTGGAGCTTTGAATTAATGTTATAGATGATTGATTCTGTAAGAATAAATTGCAATTTTATTGTTACTTTAAAATCGAATTGGAATTGTTTCTTTTTTTGTAATTACTGTACGGAGGAATCATTGGAAAGGAATTTACTTTGTTACTTGATAAATTCGAGGGGTGAGCAAGTGCAGTGCACTAATTGCAGTTTAGATAAAAGAAAGGAAAGTGGTGTTTCTGCTGCAGTATATTTTAGAGACATTATGTATATTTTCCATAAGGAAAATATACTTGGCAGCTTGTTCTTTATTATAAGTAAGACGGTGATTATTCAGGAAATCTATTAGCAAAGAAGACGAAATTGTGTACCAGTAGTCAGATAAACTTTTTTCTGTTATACACAATATATTCTATGAAAAAACTTTTATACGCACAATTTTCTATAGAAAACAATTATACTTGATAATTTTCTATAGGATTAACTATTATACGTAGTTGTGATCATGACTTCTTTACCGTATGGGCCTATAATGGCTTTTATTCAGTAAGAATTTCCTCCATACTGTTTGACGTTTGCGTTGAGGCTCAGGCCTGTGTGGCTAGTTAGCGCATAAAGAGACTATGTTAAAGTAAAATGTAGTAGTTTCCCGTATCATTTACGCCATAACAGCGTTTAAATGACAAAAGGATGATGTAAGGGTCACGACAGAAGCATTTGAACTCGCAAAAGGTAGGAACAATTCGGACGTCACGGTCAGAGAAGATGTTCTGTAGTTGTACAGTACATGTCATCCTTACTGACCTGCATGCCAGAATAGTTTAGCACGAAGGGCAGGTACTGACCGACTTAATTATAGATGGCATTCCGCAGATGTCAAATGTACCCTTTCGTGCCGGATAAAGTCTTTGCCCTTTGACGAGGAGTTTGCTAATAGTCAGACCGCAAAGAAGAAACTTCCTAATGGCGAGGCTGGGAGAAACCAAGGGGTCTTTCCGCAACTTGTTCGGGAGGCAGGTGTGCAGGAGATGCCAAGTGCCTCTCCACAAGATATTAACGAAAGAAGAGAAGACGAATGAAGCGATGTTGAGGTCTTTCGCCTTTTGGACCAAAATGGCAGTCAATGCTCTCGTCATTGACGTTCTGGGATGGTCCACTCCCTAGATATAAAAGGTTGTTTCGGGCAAATGCCCAAAAGTGTAATAAACCAGTCGTCTAGAAGAGCAGAGGTGGCCCTGCGTCCAAGGCACACTTTGGCGAAATTAAACAAATTTTCATATATTTTATGTGATTTTATTATTTAATATTTATTTTCTTCTTTTTACATGCATTTTTTTTTGTTTATTATTGTTTCTTTTTATTATTAGTTTTTCATTTTGTTCAGTATTAAACAAATAAAAATTACATGCAATACCTTTTTTATATTTTCATGTTTTGTTAGTCACTGTTTTAAATCATCTAATTTATGTTTGTGTTTAATGAACGAACGAATGTTTTTGGTTTTTTTATTATTGTTGTTTTATTATGTTTGTTTTTTTTATGTAATAAATGTTGAATTAAATAAATATTCGTTAATTATTAGTAATTTCATAATAAATTCTTATTTATTGTTACTTTTATTGTTTAGTGGAAATATTTCAATTCAAAAACTAATTTTCAGATTCGCGTTTTGTTGTTGTCTTCTTGGGATTTGTTATTTTTAAACTAAAATTTGTATTAAGTCTTTAGGAACTTAAGGAGTACATATTTGAAAAACTAAATATGTATGAAATTATTAAAATCTAATTGTTGAATAAAAATAGTCTTGCCAAAAGAATTAATTAAAAAAAATTTTTTGTTAAAAAATATAACCAACCCATAGTTTTTAAAATGTTTTAACATTTGCCGCAAAAATTCTTATTAAATATAAATTTAAAGCATATTTTAGGGCATTAAATAAAAAATTTAGTGTTTCTTAAGGGGGTTCAAACCTAGTTAGACATGCGAAAGATAACTGCGATAAAGAACATTTTGAACTGAAAACAACAATATAAAATAATAAAAATTCCCTTTTTAACTATTCTAAGGCAAGACTTTTATTTTCATATTACATATTACAATTGTTCCTATATTAGACCTTTTATAATTAATATAAATTTCTCGTTATTTTTTTTTTGGGGGGACTTTGGAATTTCTGTATTATTTTCTTTAATGTTGTATTGATTGATGCTTAGGCACAACGTATGTTTCTTTATTTCTATTAAAATATAGTTTTTTTCTTATTTTTTTTTTTCATAATTTTCTATGGTTTCTATTAATTATCATAAATTTTTATATGTTTTTAATAAAAGCTGAGCTGTTCTGTTAAATTCTTTAGCAGATGTTTTTTTTTAAATCGAATCTATCAGCTTTTATTATTTTGTAATATTAAGGGACTGTTCTTATTAATTCTATGAATTTTTATTATGTGTTTTTTTTTGTGAATTTTATTAAATTTTTTAAAGTTAAATTTAATTGATTTCTAGTATAATTATGTATATAGTACATGTCTACACTAATCATCACTATTTTATATACGCTATTTTCAGTTTATTGAAGACATTTATTTGTTTTTTAATTTTTATATATATTTTTTTGTAAAAAAATATTGTGTGTTTAAATGAATTTAGAGGTTTTGGTAGGTTAATAGGAGGAGTTATAAGGATTTTTTTTCTTTGATAACAAAAGTTTAATTTAGTTTAAGAAAAACTGAAAGGATTTTTTATATGGCCACAAAACTGAAACTCTTAAGAAGTAGCAAATAAAGAAATATCATTTATCACCTTATCCCTGACAAATATTGATTAGGGTTTCTAAGCGGGGAATTTTTACCGGCAATGCCCGTTAGTATTTGTTTCGTAAATCCTGGGGAAGTTTTGTCGGGAAATTTCGGTTATTCCATTAGAAGATTTATTCATAAATTTTTTAAAATATTAGATAAATTAATGAAACTTTTGCATAATTTGTTTACTGGTAATGATTTCACTTAATAGTAAATACTATTTAAAAAAATTATGATTGAATCAGTGTATCATATCCGATGCTTTAAATTAGTTTATTTAAAATTAAACTTAAATAAAATAAATTTATATAAAAAACTTCCAAACTTTCAAGATATTGTTATCAGATATATTACGTTTATAGCGGGTTTTACACATCTCCAAAAGCGAAGAAATTAAACTTAAGTCTTAAGCAAATTATATTAAAACTTACGTTAACTTTAGAACTCTTATCCCCCAGAGATTGAGATAATGGGACTGTTTCTAACTATAAATACTTTGTCGAGGCCAACAAAAAGGCTGATTGAAAAAAGTACCGGAATTTAGAAACTCTATTATTGGTACTAATTTTGGATTTTAGAGAACTTTGCTATTCTGCGGTATGAAACGATCTGTCAATATTTCATGTTACACGATCAATAAATATCACAATACAACAAATATCACAACAAACATTTGTCCAATTCACAATCGGTGTTGTATGGTTGTGTCGTTAGGTTAGATTGATAGGAGGATGTATATTACATCAAATCTGAAGAAATACACCTAGTCCACTATCGGGCCTGTTGTGCGCTCTTTTTCATGTAAGAGAAACGTTTGTTTGGTAAAAATCAGTGTTCGTGTGGAATGTTATATCCGGAATAGTATCACTCCCAAGATATTTGGATCTGGTTGTATCGTAACATGTCGTAATTTTATTATCGTTTTGTTTGGAACGTACTGCGCATCAAATGCAACACAGTGATGCATTTCCGAACAGGTCTATCCTACATGAAGTCAGCACTGCAATCGTAATGCAGAATGTCAATGTTGCCAAACGGCTGATTAAGATCGACATGAGCGGTGGAAGATGCGCAATTGTTTTTCATTAAGAATGCAAATTCTGCACATGAAGTTTGAAACATTTTATGATGTCGTAAAGAAAAATACACGTTGGATTTTAGTGTTCTATTGATGTTTTATATATCGTCACCTTAAACGCAAACGGCCCTATCTCACATTTTTAAAATTTTACAGGAGAAGCAAAAAACTATTTACATTGTTTCCATAGAACATACAGTTAGGTCAAAGGTTATCAACGTCAAATAAAGGACGCACCTGCAAATTCTGCTGTGGAATATACTTCGAGAGATTGGGACAAACAAAAAGTGTGTTATCATTGTAAATTGAAAGACCATATTCAAACTATGTATATAAAAACTACGATTACACTCTCTCTGTTTTAGTTTTCTTACGTTTCCAACAGATTTCCTTCGTTCTACTTGTTCTGAAGAAACACAATGGAATTCTTTGAAAAAAGTGTCTGTTTTATAAGAAGGGTAGCCGCTAAATCAATCATGAGTGGCTCACATGGGTCCACCCAGTTGCGGGCCCGTTGAGATACATTTAAATATTACTCCCTACTTCCAGATTTAAACCAGCCGAATGGATTCACAAAGTTTAAGATATTTTTAAGGCATATCCCAGATAGCTCATCCATAGAGCAGCAAAGTCATTTTATTCGAGACGCATTCTTCTGGCGTGATTGCCAATTGTTGACTGATACCAGCATTCTTATCTGTTCCCAGCGAAAGCTTAGTAATAAGTTTGACCTGGGAGCATCGTATAGAGGCCAAATTGACCTCGAAGTGAGACAGGTTTCATTCAACCATCTGATTTGAGCCATTTCATATAGTTTAGTCTGAACCAGTGATTTACAGTTTGTAAGGGAGATACCAGTAAATGCGTCGATTTCATCTTCCCCTCTCATCGCACCATTCCTGGCAAGTTCATCCGCTATACAGGGACTCATATTAGCGTAGTGTCTGTTAGCGGTAGATTGAAATATAGCTCATACTTTATAAAAGTTAGCAAAAGTTTTAAAGTTGACAGTAATTGGCCGAATAATTCGGGATATTGTGATGCGTATTCCCAGTGGTCTTGATTTAAAAATTCAGTTAAAATTTTACATATTAACATTACTAAGAATTTTCGAATTTAATTTAGATTTTTCGAACATAACATTGCATCGGCAATAGGTGCCTTTATGTGTGCAACTAAATAGGGCTACGAGAACTGATCAAAAATTCAGTTACAAAATACGATTATAAGGTTAGTTTACAAACCAACAAACTAATAAAGCAAGTTAAATAAAAAAGCTTGTAAAAAGAGTTAAAATATAATTTCTAAAATACCTTTTCTTTCGATAGAGTTAATGCTCTATATCAAAACTAATCAAATACAACAATTCGCTGTCGGTGTTTTGCTCATTAATATAAATTAAGTTGGATATTAATAAAAAAAAATTATTTTATTTATTTTATTGATTATTTTCATTTATTAATAATTAGTCTCAAATTAAAATAATAATATTTAAAAAAAATAATTGTCATTAAAATGAAAATAAAAAGCATTTAAAATGCTTTATTATTATTCATATTATATTGATACAATTAAATAAGTGGTAGTGGTAAAAAATAATTATTTTAAACTTAAAAAAAGCTAGTTTTTTGAAAATATGTTTTCTTTTGTCAATAATAAAAAAAATAGAAAACAATTAAAAAAAAAGAAATCTTTATGATAATTTTAGCATTAAAAATATATTTGTTTATGATTTAAACTTAAAATGCAATAGAATAAAGAAATTAAAGGGAATTGGAGAAAGATAGTAATAAACTCATTATAAAAAGCTGGTAGTTAAAAAAATACAATTAAAAAGTAAAGAGAAGAGGATGAAAGAAGGAGGGATTATACAGACAAGGTCGTTTTATAAATATGCTTTTGTTGTTATTTTTTATTGTTTTTGTTTTTTTTTAAATACATGGTGTTTAACGCCTTTTTGCTTTAATATTAATTTTTGTTTTTTAGAATTAATAATTATTTTTTTATGTATATATAACTATAAATATATATATATATATAATATAATTAAAGTAATTATTTATTTTGTTGTTTTCGGTTTTATCTCTCTCGTTAAATGTTAATACATAATAAGTTTAATAATATTTAATAAATGTTTTGTTTTTTTTATTAATTGTTTTAATAATATAAAGATGATTTTATGGTTTTTTGTTTTTATTCAATATAATTTCATTTTTTTCATTCGTTACTATTTCTTTTCTTTTTAATTTATTTTTTTTAATTATTGTATATAATAACTATTTATATATTTAATAATAATAATAATAATTATACGTAAATATGCATATAATTTTAATGTTGTTGTTCTTGTTGTTTTTGTTGCTGTTTCCTTATTGTTTGTTGTTGTTGTTTTGTTTTTCTTAATGTTTTATAATCAAAATTATAATATTTAATAATAATAATAAGAAAATGTAAAATTATTATTATTATGTGTTTACTTTGTTAAATATTTTTTATTATTTTTATCTTTCTTCTTATGTTTGTTTTGTTTTTTTTAAATAAAACATACAACTTAAGAAAATAATTTCAACATAAATCAATGATTTTGTAGCTTTAATCAGTTGTTTTTGGTGGCCTCTTTAGCCGCCATAATAAGCGGAGTTAAACTGGCCAATGGACGGGCCAATTTTAAGAAGGGATGCTGTTGTTAAATTAAAAAAAATCAAATATTTTTGTTAATTCATTTAATTGATTTTGTTTGTAAATGTTTTATTATTACCTTTAGCAATTCCATTGCACTAGCACGACGATCAACTTCTACTTCGAGACATTGATCGAGGAAATCTTGAAATACTGGTGAGAGTTTTTCTTTTTCTTTAATCTCAGGTTTGCCATTAGTAGCAATGAGGTACAAGGCTTTCAATGGATTTTCATTAAGATAAGGAGGTTCACCTTCAACCATTTCAATGGCCATAATACCAAGAGACCATAAATCGACCTGTAATGTTTTATTGTTTTTTTTTTATTTGTAGATAAATTGTACAGACTCTTTAAAAAAAGTATTCTTATTAATAAAAAGATTAAAATGATGTTTATGAACTTTTTAGCAAAAAATAATTTTGATTAACTTTTCATCGTTGGATGAAAAATGGGACTTTAGTTTAAAAAGTAACTATAAGTAGGGAAGAGAAATTTTGGTTGAAATCAGTTTTTTTGTGAAAAATGAAAATTTTAGTAATTTTAGTTTAAAAAAGGTACTTTTGTTGGAAAAATTACTATTAAAATTTTCGTGGAAAATTTTAGACTAAAAAGAGACTTTTGGTGATAGGATAAGATTTGTAATTTTTGTAAAAAGGGAGATTTTTGGAAAAAAAAATGTACGAAAAAAGGGTATTTCGGTAAAAAAAGAATAAACTTTTAGGGACTTGAGATGGAAAAAGTACTTATAGGTGGAAAAGAGACTTTTGGTTGAAATGTAAAAGAGAAACTTTTTATGTTTTACAAAAAATGTAAAGATCAAATACTTTCAGAGCAAAAAGTACTTTTGGTTAAAAAAGTCATTATAAAATTCATCAGGTCATCAGTGAAAAAGGGTGACTTTTGGCGAATAAAGAAACTTTAGGTGAAAAACTGACTAGTGAAAAACTGACTTTGGTGAAAAAATGGGCTATTTTGGTGACAAAAGTGACTTTTGGTGAAAGAGGTGACTTTTAGCGAAAAAAGTGACTTTTAGTGGAAAATATTGAAATTTTTTGTGAAAAGGACCTTTTTTTAAATCTTTTTTTCGTCAAATAAGGAACTTTTGGAAAAAATGAGCTTTATATAGTTTTGTGAAATTGGTGAAAAAAGCGAAAAAGTGTCTTTTTGGAAAAAAGTGACTTGATGGAAAAGTTAACTATTGACGAAACAAGTGAGTTTTGGAGAAAAAAAAATTGACTTTTGGCGTAAAAGTAAATTTTTTGTGAAAAAAGTGACTTTTGGTGAAAGAAGTGACTTTAGGTGAAAAAGGGTGACTTTTGGCGAATAAAGAAACTTTAGGTGAAAAACCGACTTTGGTGAAAAACTGACATGTTGAAAAAATGGGCTATTTTGGTGACAAAAGTGACTTTTGGTGAAAAATTGTGTCTTTTGGCGAATAAAGTAACATAAAAGTGAATTTTGGTAAAAAAATGGGCTATTTTGGTGACAAAAGTGACTTTTGGTGAGAAAGTTGACTTTAAGCGAACCAAGTAATTTTTGCGGAAAAAGTGACTTTTTGATAGAAAAAAGTGAATTTTGGAGAAAAAGTGACTTTTGGTGAAAAAAAAAAAGAATTTAAAAGTGGAAAAGATGACTTTTGGTGAATAAATTAAATTTTTGGACAGAAAAATGACTTTTGCTGTAAAAAATCTGACTTGGTGAAAAAAAGTGATTTTTTGGGTCTGACTTTTAGGGAATTAAGTAACTTTTGGTGGAAACTGAATTTGGCGAAAAAAGTGGTAAAAGTGAATTTTTATGAAAAATGTCCTTTTTTGATGACAAAAACGACTTATGGTAAAAAATGATGACTTTTTGGTGAAAATTACTTTTGGTTAAATAGTAACTTATGGTGAAAAATAATGACTTTTGGTGTAAAAGTTAATTTTTGGTGAGAAAAGTGAATTTTGGTGAAAAAAATGTGATTTGGTGAAAGAAGTGACTTTTGGTGAAAATAGTGAGTAACTTCGTTCAGCACATAAATAATCAATTTTTGGGTTAAAATTGAAATAATTTATAAGAGTTTTGTAAAAAATGGCGAAAAAGTTGGCTTTTGGTGAAAAAAGGTGACTTTGTGTGCATCAAGTAACATTTGCTGAAAAAAGTGAATTTTGGAAAAAAGTGACTTTGGATGAAAAACGAGAATTTTTGTGAAGAAGGTGATTTTTGGCGTAAAAGTATTTTTTGGTTAGAAAAATGTTTAATATTTAGTGAAAAAGGCGATTTTGGTGAATAAAGTGATATTTGGTGAAAAGATGTGAGTAACTTCGTTCAACACATTAACAAAACAGAAAAAACAAGTAAGAGTGTTATATTCGGCTATGCCGAATCTTATATACCCACCATAAAACCTCGTTTGACTCGAATGAAACTTACTTATGTCCAATTTCATCTATATACTCGTATATTTAGGCCAGTTATAAGCGTTAAAGTAATTTTCTGAAGGGGACCATGTATAGGGGGGTAGGGTCAATTATGGGTCGATCCTCATAAAATTTGGTAGATAGAATTTGGTTCGTATTAAATTTATTTGTGTCGAATTTCATCGCTACACTCGTATTTTTAAACCATTAATGAGCGTTGCAGTCATTTTCTGAAGGGGACCTTATATGCGGGGTAGGGTCAATCATGGACCGATCCTCATAAAATTTTTTAGATAGATTTTGACTCGTATGAAACTTACTTATGTCGAATTTCATCTATATACTAGTATTTTTAAGCCAGTAATGAGCGTTAAAGTCATTTTCTGAGGGGGACCTTATATGGGGAGTAGGGTCAATTATGGACCGATCCTCATAAAATTTCGCATATTGATTTTGGATCATAAGAAACTTACTTATATCGAATTTCATCGCTATATTCGTATTTTTAAACAAGTTATGGCTGTTAAAGCTGCTTTTCGAGGGGCCACTTGTATGGGGGCTATCCGAAAACGTGGACCGATATTGCCCATTTTCAATACCAAACAAACCTTACCTATAAGAAATATTTATGTGAAATTTCAACCCTCTAGCACTTTCCATTCGGACTCTATCGTGCTTTCAACAGACAGACAGACAGACAGACAGACAGACGGACGGACGGACAGACGGACAGACATGGCTAGATCGTCTTAGAATTTAATGAGGACCCAGAATATATATACTTTTGTGGGTCTATGACCAATATTTCTATGTGTTACAAACGGAATGACAAAATCAATATACCCCCCATATTTTTTGATGGTGGGTATAAAAATAGACATATAAAAAAAACCTACCTTCGGTCCATATTGTTTACGTGTAACAACTTCCGGTGCCATCCAATATGGTGTACCCACCATTGTTGTGCGTTTCGATTGCTCCGGTGATATTTGAGCACAAAAACCGAAATCAGTTAATTTAACTGAACCATCCAGACCCAATAAAATATTATCACTTTTAATGTCACGATGTATGACCTGATTGGAGTGTAAAAATTCCAAAGCTTGTAACACTTCACGACACACGGCCGCTATTTGACCCTCATCCATACACGTCTCCGTAACCACATCGGTCAGTGAGCCACCCGGCAGATATTCCATAACAACCCACAGTTCTTCCGATACCAAATAACTGTCCAAATAATTGACAACATTTGGATGTTTATTCTCTCGCATGACAAGAATTTCATTGATGATCAGTTCTTTTTTGGGTTGCTGCGACAGATTCATTTGTTTAATGGCCACTTCCATGCCAGTGGAAGATTCAATGGCCGTATAAACGGTACCCGAGGCACCCTGACCTATTTTTTCCATTTTCGTGTATTTACGATTTGGATCACCCACCGAGACAATGGTGCGCAATTTCTCAAGTATTTCTTCATCAGACATTTTCTTCTTTTTCGTAGCGCCCGATCGTTGTTGTGTTGTTGTAGTTGTTGCTGGCGTCGTGGTAGTGGTGGCGGCCCCCGTGGTAGCCGCTTGAGCAGGTGAGGCCGCATTGGACGATGCTGCAGCAGCATTAGCTCCAGCAGCGGAGACCGCATTCAAATTATTAGTATTTGTATCGTGTGCATACAAATCTGTGGTCACAATTGGTGTTGTCGTTAGAGCAGGTTCAATGTTATCGGGTGTAGCCGGTGTTATGGTTGTTATGGTAGGAACATCCACAACGGTATCCGTAACAGTTTGTGGTATTGTCGCAGCAGTTGGTGTGGGCAAAGGTGGTGTTGGCATTGCAATCGATTCAATAAACGAAGACGATGAAGAGGGACAATAAATTGGTGGCAATGTTGTCATATCATCATGATATGAGGGAAACGATGAAAAGGAGGAAGCAGAAGAATCATGATTAGTTGTAGTTGTTGTTGTCGTTGTAGCATTACAATCAATAAATTGCAATTGATTACTAGTACTAGGAGTTGCACTAAGAGCTGCTGCAGTAGCAGTATTATTAGTGGTAGTAGTAGTCATTAGTAGAAGATTAGTAGTGTCAGTTTGAGAAGCTGCTGTTAGTTCAGCCTCATAGCCAGCTGCTGCTGTAGCAGTGGTTGATTTTAAAGGATTTTTTTTTATTTGTTTTTGATTTTTTGTTTTAGTTGTGATTGTGGTTAATTTTTGTTATTTTTTTTTCGTTAGCGTTAGCAGTTGTAAAATTAGTAATAAATAAAATATATAACATACGGAGAATATATTGATTTAAGTTTTATAAATATTAGTTCAATTGTAGAATTATAAAATGCAATTTATTAGTATTAAAATGTTAAAAAGCGAAGACACAAACCAAAAGACATCTAAGCAATTGTAAAAACTAAATTGCTTATTAAATTTTAAAATGGTTTTAAAGCAAAACGGAGCTTTCTATAAGGATTCAGAATATACTTTATAGGTTAGGAAAATTATGTTTTTTGTAAAAATTTCAAACGGAATGACTAACATATACATATGTTTATAACGTTCTCACGAAGTGTAGTAGACGTTTATCACAAAAGTCTAAATTATTTGTTTTTATATTTTTCCACAAATTCCAAACTATTTTTCTTGAGGATTGTTTAGTAAATTTTTTTTTGTTTTATTATATACCATTTTATGCTGCTAGGATATTTACGAATTTTAAGTAGAATTCATACAAGAAATCCCGTATTCAAAATATAAAAAAATTTGCTTAATACGTATTTCTTTTAATAATTAACTCAATATTATTATTATTATTATTATTATTATTTGAAAAATACGTTTGTTATAAATTTATACCTAAAAGTTGTTATACATTTATTATGGTAGAAAACATACATATTTATCAGAACTTCCTATCAATTTTATATCCATTGAATCACTGTGTATACTTATATACATGCATTTGTTTATCAACATTCGCACCTATCAACATTTCTTATCAACATATTTATGTATGTACGATAGAGGATCAATGATGTTATCAAAACATGTTGCGGTGGAGACCACATTACCAATGTTTATAAACATATTTAATATCTCACCGACAACAAAGTAGTAATAAGCAAATGTGTCCAACTGGTAAAAAGCTTATTCAAACCAACTCTGTTTTAAATGTTGAGGTAAAATTAATGATTATCATAATTAATTATTTATGGAAAAATAATCATTGAGATATGGTGGGAAAAGTTTTAACAACACTAGCCACGAACGTGCTTTCGTTAATGTAAAACTGCAAAAATTCTTTTTTTTTCTCATCGGATTGTGCAACTAATTAGACGTCTTTACTCCTATTACCATTAAAGTTTAAATTAAAATTATACAAGTGATCAAGTTCAAATTTATTAATATTTTGTCAAATCACAAATCTTGGAAATAACTTGAAGGAATACGAAGTGTTAAAGACTACTAGAAGATGGACGTAAATCTTATGTAAGATTGAACTACCACATGGTATAAGATTTGTCCATAATTCTTATGAATTTCAAGTCAAAATTTACTGGAGTTTCACATTGTGTAAACAAATGGTGTTCAATTTTGTTAATTGCTATTGGACAAAATTAATTAATTTCTATATCTCCAATTCAAAAAGTGATGGTAAAACATTGGCTGGTCTATCATCGTTAACAATTTGACTAAATGATAGCCAGCCAAAAATGTTTACTCTTGCATATAGTAATTACCCAAATTATAGTCCTATTGTGAAAAATTTTTTTCAATCACAAAGCAAAGTTTAAGCACGTCCGATAACCTAAAAGCTACAAATATCAACCACCTAATCTAAGCTGAATATAAATTGAATATAATTTCGAAGGCAAAGTCAATATAATTTCACATCTTTCAATTATTTGCAAAAGTAAATTATAATTTAGTTAAAGTTAAATGGATTTTTCTCCATGTGCATTCTGATGCACATAATAAAATATATTCCTTCTTTGGATACATATCTACCTAAAATTAAATAAAACCTTTATTTCATAAGTCCCAGCTAGTTTAAATTAAGTATTTTTTTTTAGAAAATGTTATTTAATTTGATATTTTATAATTGTATAGTTTCGAACATAAGCCATATTGATCTTATGAGTTAAGTTTTGTTATGGTATTAAATATTGTTTTAATATCAAATTTGTTTAAGTATCACAAATAACTTTGCTAATAGTAAACCTAAAGGGAAACCCTAAGCATCTTTATGTTTATACTATAGATACTACGAATTCTTAATACTTTATTATTTTTTTTTTGTACGTATATGCAAGATTTTTGTTTTCATTCATTAACTATCATTTAGTCCAACATCACACCTAATGGAAATCGAGAGGCCTCTGCGACGTCTTTAAATTTGGTGAGTGTAAAATTCATTAATAATTTGTATATAAAAAAATGAAAAATATTACTCTTGCATATTCTCTTAAAAACTAAAAATGAAATAATTAAACTTTATAAAAAATTTAAAAATCAAAAATAACATGCAAATAACAAAAACCACAAAATCGGTATAGAAAAGAAATTTAGTAAAAGAGGTAAAATCAGAAAGAGAAACTAAATTTAGAAAACAACAACAAAAAAAATGAGAACAATGAAACAATATTAATTCAAATAATGTAAATAATAATATTTAAAACAAATGGCAAGAATTTTTATTTTCTCATTACGTATGTACGTATATTTACTTGTTTTGTTGTTCTTCGAAATTTTGTAACTTTATTTTCTTGACAGATCTTATCTCTTAAATCCATTTTACATTTAAATATTTTGAAAACGTTACCGAATCAGTCCAATACAGAATTAACTATTATCGTTATTTTTGTTATTTGTAATTATATTTAAATATTTATACTTATACCTAATTATTAGAGATTGTTGTTATTTAACTTTATAAATTTTGTTTATTATTTTGCTTTTTAAGATACATTAAGTTTATGGGTTGAATCATTTAGAAGAATGAATAAATTTGTGATGAATTGCTAAAAACTTTAATGTTTTCGTTCATGGTGTAATATAAGTGAGGATTAATTTAACGAGGGATTCTGACCAGAAAGATTCGGCAACAGAATATAGGTAGGCGTGGGTTTTGAGCCGTAGATTCCAAATAACAGCATGGAATCTTAACATCGTAGGTAACATTATCACAGACTTGCTTTCTATTATCTCAAACTTAACTATATAGGGGATTTTGTTTTGAAATATATAGTTATGGTGGTCCACTTAAAAATTTTGTTAAATTAATTTCACGGGAGTCTATAGAAATAAATAATATCTGTACTTTTGAGACTAAATATAGGAAGACGCGAACCTCCCCGACCGACTGAAGCTAGTGCATTTATGGCTCCCACAGTCTTTCACTTATTTAGCCTTTTGTCAAGTGATCATTCTTGAATTCACTTACTAAACTGAAATCTTTGATTTATTAAGGATTTATTACAGAAAATGGCGCCCAACGTGGGGCCGAAAGTGTCCCAAAATATTGGTACATGATCGGTTCCGAATTGTAGTTTTATATTAGATTTCATTAATAGCAAAATATTATAGATAATGATTATATTATATTGTTTAAATAAATAACTTGTTATGCACTACAGGATATTTAGGTACTTGAGGTTTGAGTAACCTAACCGTTTTGCCCCTAACTTGTTCTTTTATTTAAATATCTTAATATTAACAGTGTCTATAATATATTTTGCAAAACAGTTATTTGTTAGATGTTCCTATGAAATGCTGCTGACTAAGATACGAGTGACTTTATTCTATTTGAGAAATGTTGCTTGGCATTTTGCCAGATAACATCCAATAGATCAAAGTTGGTACTACAGACTGCAAAGAAAATGAAAATGTATACCTACTAGTTTGTCAAAAGCCTTATATAGAAACATTTCACAAATAATTCCATAGATCAATTTTGTTCTTTTGATGTGATAACTTACCTATTTTAATCCTAACTTAATTATACCATAAAACGAAAATAATAATTCATGAAAAACTTTTATACCTCTTTAAAGAAAACTACATATTTATAATTCGTAGAAGAAGAAAGCTAAATTTTGCTTGTTGAAGTTAAATTTATTATTGTGGTTTTATACTTCTTGATTTCCTTCAAATTTTACGAATTTTGCTTTGCATATACTTTTTTCTGAAATATATTTTTCACGTAAGTTCTGTATCTTTTATAACAATGTCGTTAGAACGAACACCTCCTCATGCATCAATTATGCCCCAAAATCCATCTCCAATAATCTCGATAGCATCGGCACCATCTCAAGCTCCCATAATAGCGTCAGCTTCAAATGAGTTGTGTAGCATTTGTAATGAACGCCTTGACGGCAAAATAGAATGTTTGATTATTGGTAGTTGTAATCATATTTTTCATCGGCCATGTATCGAAAACCATCTTTCAACTGACGGCGAATGTCCGGTATGTCGTTTGCCTTGTCAATTGGCCGATTTAAAACAAATTTCCTTTCCGGGAAAGCCTTTAAAATCAACTTTGCGACGTGGTGGGTCTACGAAACAATACCACACACGTAGTTTTTCAAGAAATTTGTTTAATGAACCATTGACGCCTTCGGTGAATGTAGGAGGTAATACTAATACAGCTACTTTAACCAATCCTTCCAGAAATAATCAGTTATCG